TAGTTATAATATTATATAATACAGATCTATAGGACAACATGCTAGTTATAATATTATAATACAGATCTATAGGACAACATGCTAGTTATAATATTATAATACAGATCTATAGGACAACATGCTAGTTATAATATTATAATACAGATCTATAGGACAACATGCTATTTATAATATTATAACACAGATCTGGATGACAACATGCTAGTTATAATATTATAACACAGATCTGGATGACATCATGCTAGTTATAATATTATAATACAGATCTATAGGACAACATGCTAGTTATAATATTATAACACATCTATAGGACAACATGCTAGTTATAATATTATAATACAGATCTATAGGACAACATGCTAGTTATAATATTATAACACATATCTATAGGACAACATGCTAGTTATAATATTATAATACAGATCTATAGGACAACATGCTAGTTATAATATTATAATACAGATCTATAGGACAACATGCTAGTTATAATATTATAATACAGATCTATAGGACAACATGCTAGTTATAATATTATAACACAGATCTATGGGACAACATGCTAGTTATAATATTATAATACAGATCTATAGGACAACATGCTAGTTATAATATTATAATACAGATCTATAGGACAACATGCTAGTTATAATATTATAATACAGATCTATAGGACAACATGCTAGTTATAATATTATAACACAGATCTATAGGACAACATGCTAGTTATAATATTATAATACAGATCTATAGGACAACATGCTAGTTATAATATTATAATACAGATCTATAGGACAACATGCTAGTTATTACCGACTATGGTAGCTAATGAGAGCCATAATAACCTGACCTGTAAGTTGAATGTAACCCCAGGTACTGTGGAGCATCGTGACAGACCCTATAACCCAGTGTCCTCCTTCACGCAAGCTGACGTCAACCTGGGCCGGATCCTATACCGCCCTCCCCAGGCCCCCTCTCACCTCCAAGAGCTCTACCAGTACTCCTTCACTGGTGAGTACACACACACACACACACACACACACACACACACACACACACACACACACACACACACACACACACACACATACACACACACATACAAACACACACACACACATACACACACACACACACACACACACATACACACAAACACACACATACACACACACACACACACACACACACACACACACATGAACACACAAACGCACACACAGATGCGTGCCCTTAAGCACACTTACACACAAGCACGTACGCATGCACACACACACACTTACGCACACATGCACACACACACACACACACACTTACGCACACACACACACACATACACACACACACACAGACACACACACACATACAGACCCCCCCCTCCCCCCCCAGTCACACTCAGCCACACTGTTGTTAATGAAATGTGAGTGCAACTGGGTAACCATGGGGGATTTTTTTTTCTTTAGATTTCACAAGATTGACTGTTTTAATCCATGTCCTAAAATCAAGTAATTTCTTCCAAGAGTAGCAGCCTTAATCTGAGGATGAGGGGACATGCTCTAAAAGTACAGCGACAGAAAAATTCACAATATTTGCCTGAACTTGCTAATTGGTTGAAGTTGGCAGCGAAGCATTTGACTTAATTTCATTTGCTTTTCATTTAACCTCTAATCTGCCTGGTAACTCTGATGTGTAGTGATCATCTGTGTGTTTGTGGTACAGCAGCAGTTTAGACAGAGGTGTAACAGTATTATATAACCGTATTTTATTTCCTCTAGGTCTGCCAGAGTTGCTGAATCTCTATTTCACAGGTATACAGTATAATATATAACCTCTATGGCTGTAGTTTAGAGAGGAGGGCATTCATACTCCTCTCCTCCTCCTCTCCTCTTCTTCACCTCTCCACCTCCTCCTCTCCTCTTCTTCACCTCTCCACCTCCTCCTCTCCTCTTCTTCACCTCTCCACCTTCTCCTCTCCTCCTCCTCTCCTCCTCTTCTCCTCTGCCTCCTCCTCCTCCTCCTCATCTCCTCCTCTCCGCCTCCTCTCCTCCTCTGCATCCTCCTCTCCTCCTCCTCCTCCACCTCCTCCTCTCCTCCTCCTCCTCCTCTCCTCATCCTCCTCCTCTCCACCTCATCCTCTGGCTCCTCCTCTGCCACCTCCTCTGCCTCCTCCTCCTCCTCCTACTCCTCCACTCCTCCTCCTCCTCTCCACCTCCTCATCTGCCTCCTCCTCTGCCTTCTCCTCCTCCTCCTCCTCCTCCTCCTCTTCTCATCTCTCCACCACCTCCTCTGCCTCCCTCCTCCTCCTCCTCCTCCTCCTCCTCCTCTTCTCATCTCTCCACCACCTCCTCTGCCTCCTCCTCCTCCTCCTCTTTTCCACCTCTCCACCTCCTCCTCTTTCTTTCTGCTCCTCTTCCTCCTCCTCTTCTCACTCAATCATGATTGTTCTGTTCTCCACCATACCTTTATTTCACCCCCCTCTCCACCACTTCACTGATCCCACTTGACTGGGCTCTCTCCTCCTCAATCAATCTGTTTCTTATGGGTCTATCCAGGAGATATATTATTTATCCTCTCTCTCTCTCTCTCTCTCTCTCTCTCTCTCTCTCTCTCTCTCTCTCTCTCTCTCTCTCTCTCTCTCTCCCTTCCCAATCCTTAAAGTGAACCATGGTTCTATCATAACACCTTTCTATGGTGCTGGGTGTCTTTCTGTCCTCACTGATACTGTACCTACTGTATGTTGGGCTGTCTCTGTCTGTGTCTGTGAGGTGGCTAAATACACCTCTTCTCCATTATCTTCATTCTGTCTGTGTCTGTGAGGTGGCTAAATACACCTGTTCTCCATTATCTTCATTCTGTCTGTGTCTGTGAGGTGGCTAAATACACCTGTTCTCCATTATCTTCATTCTGTCTGTGTCTGTGAGGTGGCTAAATACACCTCTTCTCCATTACCTTCATTCTGTCTGTGTCTGTGAGGTGGCTAAATACACCTCTTCTCCATTACCTTCATTCTGTCTGTGTCTGTGAGGTGGCTGAATACACCTGTTCTCCATTACCTTCATTCAGTAAGTACAGCACGTGGACTAGGAGAAGTTCAGTGGCCTAGATAGAAGTGGTCCCGTAGGTTGTGGAGAATCCACCAAAGTGCTTTCTGGTTTGAGGGCATATCTCCAACACGTACTGTCACACACACACACACACATGCTTATGTACACAAGCACACACGACTGCGTGGAACAGTAATGTTGAAGTTCAGAGAAACCTGAGGTGATCCTCAAGAGCTCTTTGTGTTCTTTGATGTGTTCTGACTTATTCCTTTGTTGCATTGCGTTTCACTTCTTCACTTCCTTTCGCTCTCATTCCCTGTACCTGCTGTCATGCGTGTTATCCACCTGAAATGACCTCATTCTGCACCTTTCACATTGTGTAACTATGATATTCACACCAGCCCAAGCTGAAACCCATTGAAACCCATTCACACGGTGATTGTTTTGATTTGTTTTGAGTTGCTATTTAGTGACAATTAGTTCCCCGCAGAGTGAATGTAGCTACAGTATGCGTATCACCTTTTAAGATTTATAATGCATTAAAGTTCTTTAATTACTCTCCTTAGAGAAATAAATTATGTTTTTTAATATTCATACATTTAGTGAGTCAACACCCTTTAAAACGTCACTCTCTAGGGGACTAAGAAACCAATTAGCCATAGAAGTATGTTTGTGTGTGTATGTACATGTGTGCGTGTGTGTGTGCCTCTGTAACGCCTGCCTGTGTGGGTGTGTGTGTGTGTGTGTGTGTATCTAACTCCTGTGTGTGTATGTGTTCCAGTGTCGGACGGGGAACACACCACTCCAGAGATGGACTTTTCCATCCACTTGTTGGCCAACCACCAGCAGCCCCCAGTGTTTCAGATCCTTGACCCTGTTCTGGAGGTTAGCATGGGGGGACGAACACCCATAGGTAAGACTAACCCCACGACCCTCGTCCACCCACACCCTCGGCTACAGGGCGTATGGGCATCGGGCGTATATTGCATCACTTGCCACTTACCAGGTTGTCATTGTAAAAAAATAATTTGTTCTTAGGGGTACACAAAAAAGAAAAAAAAGAATAAAGAACTAATAAATATTGAATGTCTCATTAGTTCAGGTATCCTAAAGAATGATGCATTACCATTGATATTACAAACATATGGTAAATCATTGGTATGCAACGTGACTTTCATCCTCAATGTCGCTCACAATACTTGGTGTAGGTGGGCAGCAGCTGGCAGTAACTGATGCAGACACGGCTCCTGATGAGTTGGAGTTTGAGCTGGTGGAAGGACCGGTCCATGGAACCCTGGTCAAGATGGAGTTGGACTCACAGACTGAGATGATGAATGGTGAGAAGTAGAGTCGATACAGACCAATACAATATTACACAGAAAAGTCAAAGTGTCACCAAATTTCTATAACGACTTTGCATAGCACATGTTCTGAATTCTCACACATCCGCAGAAAACTGTTTTATTTTGTGTAACAGAATGATAAAGAAGTACAAGATGAGAAGGGGGGGGGGGGGGGGGGGGGGTCTGTGCTAAGACCAGTACCAGTAGATAGTTAGACCAGTAGATAGTTAGACCAGTAGATAGTTAGACCAGTAACAGTAGATAGCTAAACCAGTAACAGTAGGTAGCTAGACCAGTAACAGTAGATAGTTAGACCAGTAGATAGTTAGACCAGTAGATAGTTAGACCAGTAGATAGTTAGACCAGTAGATAGTTAGACCAGTAACAGTAGATAGCTAAACCAGTAACAGTAGGTAGCTAGACCAGTAGATAGTTAGACCAGTAGATAGACCAGTAGATAGTTAGACCAGTAGATAGTTAGACCAGTAACAGTAGATAGTTAGACCAGTAACAGTACATAGCTAAACCAGTAACAGTAGGTAGCTAGACCAGTAGATAGTTAGACCAGTAGATAGTTAGACCAGTAGATAGTTAGACCAGTAGATAGTTAGACCAGTAGATAGCTAAACCAGTAACAGTAGGTAGCTAGACCAGTAGATAGTTAGACCAGTAGATAGTTAGACCAGTAGATAGTTAGACCAGTAGATAGTTAGACCAGTAGATAGCTAAACCAGTAACAGTAGGTAGCTAGACCAGTAGGTAGCTAGACCAGTAGATAGTTAGACCAGTAGATAGTTAGACCAGTAGATAGTTAGACCAGTAACAGTAGATAGTTAGACCAGTAGATAGTTAGACCAGTAAGAATAACATAATTGTATTATTTCTTTAACAGACTGATTCAACTCCTTTGTCCCTCCAGGTGACACGTTCTCCTTCAGTGACGTGACCCGTAATGTTCTGCAGTATGAACACTCCGGCCTCTCCACGGACGAGGACGCCATCACCTTCACCGTTACCGATGGCTTCTCCATGACAACGGCGGTGGTACAGGTGGTTGTGTTGGGCGTCGGGGGCGACGGGCCCAGGAGAGACCCAGAGGCCCTGCTGTCCATGGAGGTTCCTGAAAAAAGTAGCAGTGTCATCAGACGTACACACCTGGGTTATACGGTTAGTACAAACACACACACACAAGCACTCCTGCTCTAAACTCTTGACTGAAGCTCAGAGTTAGAAGTGTGGATGACACACACGGGACACACACGCTATGGGTATCCATATCTGGACCCCCCGTCTGAATGGTTCTTCTGGTTTCTGTTCACCCATGATCGTAATATTATGTAGTGTAGTCCAGCTCCTTCCATTATGGTCATGACTTATTGAACCCTCTTTATAGTGACTCTGGTTGCTGTGTTTAAGTGCTGTAGATACTGTACGTTCCACCACAGCTTCACATAATAATCGGCATATATTTTTTTAATAGTTGACGTATTATGAAATACGTGATCATATTTTGCAGAGCGACACCTCTCCAGATGAGCAGATCCGTATTCAGCTGGTGTCGGTTCCTATGTACGGCATCCTGACCAGGACAGGGTCCGACTCAGACCACCAGGAGATGACGGAGTACTCCTCTTTCACCATGGACGACATCAACAAACATAGGATCAGGTAGAGCCATCTAAAACTAAGGGTGCATCTAAAGTAATATATAGTAATCTATAGTAATCCATAGTCATCCATAGTCATCTAAAGTAATAGTAGTAATCTATAGTAATCTATAGTAATCCATAGTCATCTAAAGTAATCTATAGTAATCTATAGTAATCTATAGTAATCCATAGTCATCCATAGTCATCTAAAGTAATTTATAGTAATCTATAGTAATCTATAGTAATCCATAGTCATCCATAGTCATCTAAAGTAATCTATAGTAATCCATAGTCATCTAAAGTAATCTATAGTAATCTATAGTAATCTATAGTAATCCATAGTCATATAAAGTAATCTGTAGTAATCTATAGTAATCCATAGTCATCTAAAGTAATCTATAGTAATCCATAGTCATCTAAAGTAATCTATAGTAATCCATAGTCATCTAAAGTAATCTATAGTAATCCATAGTCATCTAAAGTAATCTATAGTAATCTATAGCTTCCTCTCTTTGTTCGCTTATACTTTAGCTGCACTGATCTGTAAAGAGCTGGACAGGTTGAAAGTCAATTCTGTTGTACACTTCACATTCTGGTATCCATTCCTACCAGCTCCTTTGTTGTTATTGCAGTAATTATTGAGACGATTTGTTCTGCCGTGTAGATATTTATTTCTAATTCATTTTGATTTTATTGGTCCAGGTTATTTAATTGAGAGCAATTCTCATTTTAGGCCTAAAGTAGCGAGCTAGCTGAGAGGTTTTTGTAAAAGTAATGGCTTCTTTCTACCATCCACTCCTTAGACTGTAACTACTATAAAAATATCAATATTCTCCCTGTGAGGCTTTGGGAAATCCTCGCTACAAATTAGAAACGGCAGAAAAAAGATTGGGTGTTTTAGCGACGATATGGGAAAGGCACAAACAGTTTAGCTCAATTAGCATGTCTAATTAGCGAACGTTAAATACCAACCACCTGCAAGACACACACACACACACACACACATACACACACACACACACACACACACACACACACACACACACACACACACACACACACACACAAAATGAAAACCAGGCATCGAAATGAAAACAAAATATTAGGCCTAGGGACTTCATCCCCATAATGTGCCTCTGATTAGCTTTGGTGCTAATTAACACGCTAGGCTAATATTGTACGAAACATCTCTGGGGCTTTGGGTTTAAATCACTTGTATTAGTTAAGCTTGGCAGACTGCCTCTCTGTGTTGTAACACATACACCTCTGTTTTATAGAGAATTAGAAAATATTATATTTCATTCAGGTACTTTTGCTCATTTTTAAAGGGCTTATACACGACCAGGCTTTATAATGGTGAGAGTTAGAGGATATTAGATTCAGTTCCATTCTCCAGATTGTAGAGGGCTTGTATAAAGTGTTGTATTAGTGTGAGGGGAATCTCGCCTCTTCCACCGCTAATCTGTAGCCCATCGTTCATGAAAGTGATGTAGGCTACAAAGAGTGATAAGATTCTTTGGTAACACTTTTCTTAAAAGCAATAGGTAGCTATAATGATTTATGACTTGTTATAAGCATGTATTAGCCCTTCTAATGTGTTGCAGTGAACTTGTCGTCTTTCTATGTGGCACATTCTTTTGTTGTTGCTAATATTAAACCAGGATTATTAGGAGATGATACTATGCACTGGTTTTGTGACCAATTTGTATTGTTTTGTTTTACGTGAAGACGTTGTTTTCGGATGAACTTCACTAAAGCTCAGATTTCCTTCCTGCCGTACCAGGTACATCACTTCCTTTGAGACAGGAACCCAGCCGGTGACGGACATCTTCCATTTCATTGTTTACGACGGTGAGAACAGTCGCCTTGACAACCAGATGTGTACCATCACCATTACCTCCATAAAGGGACAGCCTCCAGTGGTCACTGTCCGCAGTGGCATCAAGGTACACACACACACAAACACACACACACACACACACACACACACAACTCCGCTTGTTTGGACAGTTGCTAGGGACAGAACAAAGAGAGACAGTCTGCAACAGATGAAGCGTAACCAGGCAACACAGCTGATGCAACGCTCAGTGGACCAGTGTCTAACGCTGTGTGTGTGTGGTGTGTGTGTGTGTGTGTGTGTGTGTGTGTGTGTGGTATGTGTGTGTGTGTGTGTGGTGTGTGTGTGTGTGTTTGAGTGTGTGTGTGTGTGTATGAGTGTGTGTGTGTGTGGTGTGTGTGTGTGTGTGTGTGTGTGTGTGTGTGTGTGGTGTGTGTGTGTGTGTGTGTGTGTGTATGAGTGTGTGTGTTCTAACACAAGGGTTGTATCATGTGATTAATAATAGTTGTCGCCAGCTGCTGTCTGATGGTCACTGTGATGTGAATGAGTCAGTGTTGATCAATGTAGCACAAAATAAAATAGAACCGCTGACATTGGCAATTGATAATGGAATGGGGACGTCTGTTCTAGTCATTCTAATTCTATGGAACGTGGTTTATATTATACAGATATCCCTCGTTAACATGAACTGGCAGGCTCAGCTGTATAATAGAAATAGGCTTGGGGTGGACGTTGCACTTAGTGACTGATCTAGGATCAGAGTTACCTTCCGCAAGCCTAACTGTTTATTTATTATATATTAAAGATTAGCACTGACTATCGGTAGCTATCTAGGGGTAAGTTCCTCCTAGTTGTCCTAGAAGTGCTCTCACCCAATGCTGTATCTGCATACTGAGATCTTGTGCAACTTTCTATGTTGTGTATTTCTAGGTACAGGAAGGAGGAAGAGTCCAGCTGTCAACCAATCACATCATTGTATCAGATCTGGACACACCCAAGAAGGACCTGCTGGTGTGGATGATCAGCGCGCCCAAATATGGCTTCGTTGAGAACACGAGACGAAGAGGTGTGTGTTTGTGTGTGTGTGTGTGTGTGTGTGTGAGACCATGCGCATGTGTGCTTTTGTTTGTAATGCATGTGTGTGAGTGTACACTATGCATATCAGTAATATACAACATACTGTAACATCTTGACAGCAGACCTCCCTAGTGGATTTATTTACCATCTGGATCTTCAGTGGTCTGGTCTGTTGATTGACAGCACCTTGTATCTTTCAAAGAAAACACTCATCCCCAATCTATAGCCTTAGATCCTGAGAGAGAGAGAGAGAGAGAGAGAGAGAGAGAGAGAGAGAGAGAGAGAGAGAGAGAGAGGAGAGAGAGATCGAGATAGAGAGAGAGTAGAATGGAGATAGAGACGGCTCTCGAGAAGATAAGCTCGGCTCTCGCAGAGAGCTCGATCGTCTCTCCTCCTCTTCTCCTCTCTCTCAGAGGTACTTTACATACCTTCCATCATCGACCTTTAACACCCTGATAAAGTGGAGGGAGGCCTGAACAAAAGTCTTTATGCTGCAAAGTAAACCCTGTTTTTCATCCATGATGTGAGATTAGTCTGAAGTACTGGTCTTCAGTTATGTTGTCTTCTTCTGAGTATTCCCCTGTTGAAATATAAATGAATATCTATGAGCCTGGCGTATTTCTACATGGTGTCTTAGATGTTTCTGATCTCCACCTTCCCAATTCTGGCTCTCGTCCTTCTGTCTACACAAGTGGCGCTCGATGGGCGGTTCAAATACCCGCATCATCAGTCCAGAGGTTCCCTTCTCCGTGGACGACCTGACGACTGACCACATCTTCTACGTTCAGAACGTCCAGAACACTGACCACTACCAGGACACCTTCTCTTTCTACATCAGTGATGGGTCCAGCCAGACAGAGGCCTTCAATGTCAACATAGATATACTGGTAAATAATACTACTGCTACTACTATATCAGTGATGGGTGCAGCCAGACATTCAATGTCAACATAGATGTACTGGTAGAAATAATGATTAAAGCCACAATCCTTAAGACATACAGCAGACCTGTCACTTGGTTTGAAATATGGAGATTCATAGAGGGACTGAAAGTCGATGAGATCAGCACGGTAGCTTTACTAATATTTTAAAGATGTATGTTGTGTGTTTACAAATACTATGTTATTAATAATAATTAACTGCAACTCTTAACCCAAGTGCACAAAGAAAACTTTCAGACAAGGTTGACGGATTTTCTTGTTCTGTGATAACTACACCAGCCCTGTTTTTTCCCGCCCACCATAAAAATCGATCAATTTGTCTGCTAGGGCCTTGAGGTGATGATCCTGACAGAGACTTGGGTGTATGTATTTTTGTGTGTGTGAATGCTAAACTTTAAATTTGTGTGTGCGAGCATGTGTGTGCCTGTGTCTGTCTGTCTGTGTGTGCGTGTGCTAATGCTTGTGTGTGTGTGTGTGTGTCCCCGCAGCAGAGTAAAGAGGAGATGGAGCCGGTGGTGTCAGTGAACAGGATCCAGGTGGAGGAGAACTCAGGAGTGGTCATCACTAACTCTTCTCTCAACGTCCTGGACCAAGACACACCAGACAATGACATCATCATCACCGTCACCAAGGAACCAGCCTACGGTACGTGTACACACACACACACAGAAATAAAGTGCACTTCACCTCTACAGTGCCCGACACCGTCCAGTGTCAACTGCATGCTCTTCTCTCCTCCCCTGTCCTTTACTATGGCCGTAACTCGCCCTCCCTCCCTCATCCCTCTCTCTCTAACTTCTAACCTGAACTAAACTCTCCCGACAGAGGCCTTCATGTCAACATGATTACTGGTAAATAATACTACTGCTACTACTATATCAGTGATGGGTGCAGCCAACATTCAATGTCCTATGTCTTATTGTAACCAATCCTCATCCCTCCTTGTAATTCTCTATCATCCCTCCATTTGATTTTTCACAAAAACTTCCTCTTTTCTTCCGGATCTGGATGCCCCCCCCAAGAACCAATTTCCAGTGCCTTCGATGTCACATTTAGAATTTTTTTTTTTTTTTTTTTTTTTTTTTTTTTTTTACTCCTCCATTCCCTTCCTCTCCTCCTCTCTAATCCCCTCCCCCCTCATCCCTTTCCTATTCCCTCCTTCCTGGCCTCTCTTTTTGACTCTCCTCCATCCTCCATCCTCCCACCACCCTCCTTACCCCTCCATCCCTCTTGAATCCCCTCCACCCTCTTTAATCTCCCTATCCTCCATCCCTCCACCCTCCTGTAACTCTTCCCTCATCCATTCTTGAAACTCTCTCCCACCACCTTTCCTTGTAACCCCCCCCAAATCTCCCTCATCGCCTTGTAACTCTCAAACTTGAATATCCCTATCCCTCATTTCCATCCCTCTTGTAACTCTTTCCATCTCCTTTCATGTCCCCATCCTCTTGTAACTCTCCATATCCCTTGCCTTGTAACTTTCCACCTCCTGTAACTCTCCTGCTCATCCCTCCTGTAACTCTCTCATCCTCATCCCTCCTCCCTTGTACTCTCCCCCCACCTCCTTTAACCTCCCCCACCTCTTACTCTCCCCCATCCCCCAGAATATCCCTCTCCCTTCCCTCTAACGCCTCCCCCCCACTTTCAACTGTCTCCTCCCTCCATCCTCCTGTCCCTCCCTACCCTCCTCCTCCCTCCATCCTCTTGTAACTCTCCCTCCACCCTCCAGTCCCTCCTTGTCTCTCCCTCCATCCCGGCCTTGTAACTTCTCCATCTCCATCCTCTCCTTAACCCCTCCCTCCATCTCTCCCTACTCTCCTCTTGACCTCCCTCCATCCCCCCTTTGTAACTCCCTCCATCCCTCCTTTAACTCCCTCCATCCCTCCTTGTAACTCCCTCCCTCCACCCTTCTATCCCTCTCAACCTCTCCTTTACCATCCCTCCTTTTCCTCCCTCCATCCCTCCTTGTAACTCTCCCCCCTCCAATCCCTCCATCCCTCCTTAACTCTCCCTCCATTCCCTCCGATCCTTCCCTCTCCACCCTCCCTTGTAATCTCCCTCCATCCCTCCTTGTAACTCTCCCCCCCATCCCTCCATCCCTCCATCCCCCCTTTGGGTAACTCTCCCTCCATCCCGCCTTGTAACTCTCTAACTCTCCCTCCCATCCCTCCTTGTACTCCCCCTCCATCCCCCTTGTACTTCCCCTCCATCCCTCCTTAACTCTCCCGCCATAACTCTCCTCATCCCTCCATCCCTCCTTGTAACCTCCCTCCACCCCTCCATCCCTTCCATCCCTCCTTGTAACTCTCCCTCCATCCATCCCTCCTGTAACCTCCCTCCACCTCCCTCAAATCCCCTCCATCCCTCCTTTGTAACTTTTCCCCCTCCATCCCTCCTTGTAACTTCCTTTCCATCCCTCCATCCCTCCTTGTAACTCTCCCCCCATCCCTCCTCTAACTCTCTTTCCATCCCTCCATCCTCTTTACTCTCCTCTGAACCTCTCCCTCCATCCCTCCTTGTAACTCTCTCCCTCTCATCCCTCCATCCCTCCTTGTACTCTCCTCCCCCTCCCTCCATCTTCTCCCTCCATCCCTCCTTTCTAACTCTCCCTCCATCCCTCCTTGTAACCCCCTCCCTCCATCCCTCCATCCCTTCTCCCTCCCCTCCACTCTTACTCTCCCTCCATCCCTCCTTCACTCCCCTCCTCCCTCCTTGTAACTTCCTCCTCCCTCCATCCCTCCATCCCCTCCATCCCTCCTTGTAACTCTCCCTCCATCCCTCCTTCCCCCATCCCCATCCCTTCCTTGTAACTCCCCCTCCATCCATCCCTCCATCCCTCCATCCCTTCCTTGTAACTCTCCCTCCATCCCTCCTTAACTCTCCTCCATCCCTCCTTGTAACTCTCCCTCCATCCCTCCTTGTCTCTCCCTCCTCCCTCCATCCCTCCTTGTAACTCTCCCTCCTCCCCTTAACTCTCCCTCCCTCCCTCCTTGTAACTCTCCCTCCATCCCTCCCTTTGTAACTCTCCCCCTCCCTCCATCCCCTCCGTTGTAACTCTCCCTCCCCTCCTTTCCCTCCCTCCATCCCTCCTTGTAACTCCCCTCCATCCCTCCTTGTACTCCCCCTCCATCCCTCCTTGTAACTCTCCCCCCCCATCCCTCCCATCTACCCCCCCTTTCCTCCCTCTCTCCCTCCATCCCTCCTTGTAACTCTCCCCCTCCATCCCCCTCCTCCTAACTCTCCCCCCCCCCATCCCTCCTTGTAACCTCTCCCCTCCCTCTAACTCCCCTCCATCCCTCCTTGTAACCTCTCCCCTCCATCCCTTCCACCCTCCTTAACTCTCCCTCCATCCCTCCATCCCTCCTTGTAACTCTCCCTCCATCCTCCATCCCTCCTCCCTCCTTGTAACTCTCCTCCTCCATCCCTTCCTTGTAACTACTTCCCTCCATCCCTCCCCTCCCTCCACCCTCCCTCTACTCTCCCTCCATCCCTCCCTCTAACTCCCCTCTCTCCTCCATCCCCCTCCTTGTAACTCTCCTCCATCCCCTCCCTCCTCCCTCCTTGTAACTCTCCCTCCATCCCTCCATCCCCTCCTTGTAACTCTCCCTCCATCCCTCCCTCTAACTCTCCCTCTCCCTCCATCCCTCCCTCTAACTCTCCCTCCATCCCTCCATCCCTCCCATCCCTCCTTGTAACTCTCCCTCCATCCCCCTTGTACTCCTCCCTCCATCCCTCCCTCTAACTCTCCTCTCCTCCCTCCCATCCCTCCTTTAACTCTCCTCCATCCCATCCTCTCCCTCCCTCCATCCCTCCTTGTAACTCTCCCTCCATCCCTCCTTGTAACCCCCTCCTCTCCCTCCATCCCTCCAATCTCCCTCCATCCCTCCCCCCTAACTCTCCCCTCCATCCCTCCCTCTAACTCTCCCCCTCCATCCCTCCCTCTTAACTCCATCCCTCCATCCCTCCATCCCTCCTTTCACTCTCCCTCCATCCCCCTCCACCCTCCTTGTAACTCTCCCTCCATCCCTCCCTCTCCCTCTCTTGTACTCTCCCTCCATCCTCCCCCCTAACTCCCCCACTCTCCCTCCATCCCTCCATCCCTCCATCCCTCCTTGTAACTCCTCCTCCCTCCCTCCTTGTAACTCTCCCCCCCATCCCTCCTTAACTCTTCCTGTCTCCACTCTTCCTCCTCCTCCCTCCTTGTCCTCTCCGCTCCCGTCCCATCCCTCCTCAACTCTCCCCCATCCCTCCACTCCCTCCATCCCCCTTGTAACTCTCCCCTCCATCCCCCTCCTCCTCCCTCCATCCCTCCCTCTCCCTCTCCCTCCATCCCTCCTTGTTCACCTCCTCTCCTCCACCCCTTTCCCTCCCCCTCTCACTCTCCCTCCCATCCCTCCTTCTCTCCCTTCTCCCTCCATCCCTCCTTACTCCCCCCATCCCTCCCTCTAACTCTCCCTCCATCCCTCCCTCCCCCCTCTCTCCTCCCTCCTGTAACTCCCCCCTCCCTCCCTCCACCTCCCCCCTCCCTCCCTCTAACTCTCCCTCCATCCCTCCCTCCCATCCCTCCCTCACCCCCTATCCCTCCCTCTAACTCCCCTCGTCCCTCCCTCCATCCCTCCCTCCTTCCTCCCCTCCCTCCCCTCCCATCCACCCCTCCCTCTACTCTCCCTCCCCTCCGTACTCCCTCCCTCCCTCCCTCCTCTCCCCTCCTCCTCCCCTCCTTTAACTCTCTCCCCTCCATCCATCCTCCCTTCTTCCCCTCCCTCCATCCATCCCTCACTCTCCCTCCCCCTCCTCCTCCATCCCTCTCCTCCCTCCATCCCTCCATCCCTCCTTGTAACTCTCCCCCTCCATCCCTCCATCCCTCCTCACTCTCTACCCTCCCTCCCTCCATCCCTCCATCCCTCCATCCCTCCTTGTAACTCTCCCCTCCCTCCATCCTCCCTTTAACCTCTCCCTCCACCCCTCCTCCATCCCTCCCCTCTAACTCTCCCTCCATCCCTCCGTCTAACTCTCCCCCTCCCTCCATCCCTCCTTGTAACTCTCCCTCCATCCCTCCATCCCTCCTTGTAACTCTCCCTCCATCCCTCCATCCTCCTTGTAACTCTCTCCCTCCCTCATCCCTCCATCCCCTCCCTCCTTAACTCTCCTCCATCCCTCCATCCTCCCACCTCCCTCCATCCCTCCCTCTAACTCTCCCCCCTCCTCCCTCCATCCCTCCCTTAACTCTCCCTCCACCCTCCCTTCCTCAACTCCCCCTCTCCCTCCATCCCTCCTTGTAACTCTCCCTCCTTTCCCTCCATCCCTCCTTGTAACTCCCCCTCTCCCTCCATCCCTCCATCCCTCCTTGTAACTCTCCCTCCATCCCTCCTTGTAACTCTCCTCCTCCTCCCCAATCCTCCTCCATCCCTCCCATCCCTCCCCATCCCTCCCCTCTAACTCTCCCCTCCATCCCTCCTTGTAACTCTCCCCCCCTCCATCCCTCCTGTAACTCTCCCTCCATCCCTCCATCCCTCCTTGTAACTCTCCCTCCTCCCTCCTCCTCCCTCCTTTTAACTCTCCCTCCCTCCCTCCCTCTAACTCCCCTCCATCCCTCCATCCCTCCATCCCCTTCCCCCCTCTCTAACTCTCCCTCCTCCCTCCCCCCTCCTTGTAACTCTCCCTCCATCCCTCCATCCCCCCTTTTGTAACTCTCCCTCTCCCTCCCTCACTCCTCTCCCCCTCCCTCCATCCTCTCCCCCCACCCCAACTCCTTCCTCCCTCCCTCCCTTGTAACTCTCCCTCCATCCCTCCTCCCTCCTTGTACTCTCCCTCCATCCCTCCCTCCCTCCTTCCCTTAACTCTCCCCTCCTCCACCTCCCTCCCCTCCTGAACTCCCTCTCCCCTTGTCCTCTCCCTCTCCTCCTCTAACTCTTCCCTCCATCCCTCCTCTATCTCCCCCCTCCCTCCTTACTCCCCTCCATCCCTCCTTGTAACTCTCCCTCCTCCCTCCCTCCATCCCTCCATCCCTCCTAACTTCCCTCCATCCCTCCCTCTACACTCTCCTCCCTCCCTCCCCTCCCTCCCTCTAATCTCCCTCCTCCCTCCATCCCTCCTTGTAACTCTCCCTCCATCCCTCCCTTGTAACTCTCCCTCCCTCCATCCCTCCTCTTAACTCTCCCTCCCTCCATCCCCTCCTTGTAACTCTCCCTCCATCCCTCCTTGTAACTCTCCCTCCATCCCTCCTTTGTAACTCTCCCCTCCATCCCTCCCTCCGTCTAACTCTCCCCTCCATCCCTCCCCTCCCTCCCCTCCCTCCATCCCTCCCTCTAACTCTCCCTCCATCCCTCCCTCCATCCCTCCCTCCATCCCTCCCTCTAACTCTCCCTCCATCCCTCCCTCCATCCCTCCCTCTAACTCTCCCTCCATCCCTCCTTGTAACCCCTCCCTCCACCCTCCCTCTAACTCTTCCTCCCTCCATCCCTCCTTGTAACACTCCCTCCATCCCTCCTTGTAACTCTCCCTCCATCCCTCCCTCTAACTCTCCCTCCATCCCTCCATCCCTCCTTGTAACTCCTCCCCCCCCATCCCTCCATCCCTCCTTGTAACTCTCCCTCCATCCCTCCTTGTAACTCTCCCTCCATCCCTCCATCCCTCCTTGTAACTCTCCCTCCGTAACCCCCTCCATCCCTCCATCCCCCTTGTAACTCTCCCTCCATCCTCCCTCTAACTCTTCCTCCTCCATCCCTCCCTCTAACTCTCCCTCCATCCCTCCCTCTAACTCTCCCTCCCTCCCTCCTTGTATCTCTCCTCCTCCATCCCTCCATCCCTCCTTGTAACTCTCCCTCCATCCCTCCTTGTAACTCTCCCTCCATCCCTCCATCCCTCCTTGTAACTCTCCCTCCATCCCTCCCTCTAACTCTTCCTCCCTCCATCCCTCCCTCTAACTCTTCCTCCCTCCATCCCTCCCTCTAACTCTCCCTCCTCCATCCCTCCTTTTAACTCTCCCTCCATCCCTCCTTGTAACTCTCCCTCCATCCCTCCATCCCCCTTGTAACTCTCCCTCCCATCCCTCCTTGTAACTCTCCCCTCCATCCCTCCCTCTACTCTCTCCCTCCATCCCTCCCTCTAACTCTCCCTCCATCCCTCCTTGTAACTCTCCCTCCATCCCTCCCTCTAACTCTTCCTCCCTCCATCCCTCCCTCTAACTCTCCCTCCATCCCTCCTTGTAACTCTCCCTCCATCCCCCCTCCATCTAACTCTCCCTCCATCCCTCCCTCTAACTCTTCCTCCCCTCCTCCCTCCCTCCTAACGCTCCCTCCATCCTCCTTGTAACTCTCCCTCCCTCCATCCCTCCCTCTAACTCTCCCTCCATCCCTCCTTGTAACTCTCCCTCCATCCCTCCGTCTAACTCTCCCTCCATCCATCCCTCCCTCTAACTCTCCCTCCATCCCTCCCTCTAACTCTCCCTCCATCCCTCCCTCCATCCCTCCCTCCATCTCTCCCTCCATCCCTCCCTCTAACTCTCCCCTCCATCCCTCCTTGTAACTCTCCCTCCATCCCTCCTTGTAACTCTCCCTCCATCCCTCCCTCCCTCCATCTCTCCCTCCATCCCTCCATCTAACTCTCCCTCCATCCCTCCTTGTAACTCTCCCTCCATCCCTCCATCTATCCCACTAACTCTCCCTGTAATGTCAGGATCCTGCAACGACCTATTCTTCACAACCTGCAGGCAGTAAAAGCAACATAAACCCTCCCATACAGCCCCTGTCACACCGTCATAAAACTAAAACCTATGGAGGCTATAGAGGCCCTGTCCTCTCCACTGTCTGCCTGCCAGACAGCTTCTGCTAAATGACATTGCGCAGCGCAAAAACACATTCATCATGTTACGCATGCGGCGGGTCTCACATTGCCGGGATTCAAGGCCTTCCAGGGATGAAGATATATGACACACCTTCTCTTAGTTCTTTGATCTATCTGTTTCTACCTTTATTTTTGTTGCCATATGTAAAGTGTCTTTTGAGTGTCATGAAAAGGGTTAAATAAGGAAGATATACATTTACATTTACATTTACGTCATTTAGCAGACGCTCTTATCCAGAGCGACTTACAAATTGGTGCATTCACCCTATAGCCAGTGGGATAACCACTTTACAATATGTTTTTATTTTATTTATTTTTTTTGGGGGGGGGGGGGGGGGGCGACGGGGTAGAAGGATTACTTTATCCTGTCCCAGGTATTCCTTAAAGAGGTGGGGTTTCAAATGTCTCCGGAAGGTGGTGAGTGACTCCGCTGTCCTGGCGTCGTGAGGGAGCTTGTTCCACCATTGGGGTGCCAGAGCAGCGAACAGTTTTGACTGGGCTGAGCGGGAACTATGCTTCCGCAGAGGAAGGGGAGCCAGCAGGCCAGAGGTGGATGAACGCAATGCCCTCGTTTGGGTGTAGGGACTGATCAGAGCCTGAAGGTACAGAGGTGCCGATCCCCTCACAGCTCCATAGGAAAGCACCATGGTCTTGTAACAGATGCGAGCTTCAACTGGAAGCCAGTGGATTGTGCGGAGGAGCGGGGTGACGTGAGAGAACTTGGGAAGGTTGAACACCAGACGGGCTGCGGCATTCTGGATGAGTTGTAGGGGTTTAATGGCACAGGCAGGGAGCCCAGCCAACAGCGAGTTGCAGTAATCCAGACGGGAGATGACAAGTGCCTGGATTAGGACCTGTGCCGCTTCCTGTGTAAGGCAGGGTCGTACTCTCCGAATGTTGTAGAGCATGATCCTGCAGGATCGGGTCACCGCCTTGATGTTAGCGGAGAACGACAGGGTGTTGTCCAGGGTCACGCCAAGGCTCTTCGCACTCTGGGAGGAGGACACAACGGAGTTGTCAACCGTGATGGCGAGATCATGGAACGGGCAGTCCTTCCCCGGGAGGAAGAGCAGCTCCGTCTTGCCAGGGTTCAGCTTGAGGTGGTGATCCGTCATCCATACTGATATGTCTGCCAGACATGCAGAGATGCGATTCGCCACCTGGTTATCAGAAGGGGGAAAGGAGAAGATTAGTTGTGTATCGTCAGCGTAGCAATGATAGGAGAGGCCATGTGAGGATATGACAGAGCCAAGTGACTTGGTGTATAGGGAGAATAGGAGAGGGCCTAGAACTGAGCCCTGGGGGACACCAGTGGTGAGAGCACGTGGTGCGGAGACAGCTTCTCGCCACGCCACTTGGTAGGAGCGACCGGTCAGGTAGGACGCAATCCAGGAGTGAGCCGCGCCGGAGATGCCCAGCTCGGAGAGGGTGGAGAGGAGGATCTGATGGTTCACAGTATCAAAGGCAGCAGACAGGTCTAGAAGGACAAGAGCAGAGGAGAGAGAGTTAGCTTTAGCAGTGCGGGGAGCCTCCGTGACACAGAGAAGAGCAGTCTCAGTTGAATGACCAGTCCTGAATATATATACCATCATATATACCATCATCATCATCATCATCATCATTATTATTATTATTATTATTACTATTGTTATTATTATCATTGTTATTATTATAATTATATTAATTATTATTATTATTACTATTGTTATTATTATTATTATAATAAATAATAATAATATGCCATTTAGCAGACGCTTTTATCCAAAGCGACTTACAGTCATGTGTTTATACATCTTTACGTATGGGTGGTCCCGGGGATCGAACCCACTACCCTGGCGTTACAAGCGCCATGCTCTACCAGCTGAGCTACAGAGGACCACATTATTATCATTATTATTACTATTATTACTATTATTATTATTATTATTATTATTATTATTATCATTGTGTTCAGGCAAGTTGCAACCCCACATACTCACTCTTTCCCACCATGGTCCTGTTTTCAGGCAAACTGCGTAGACGCCAGTTCTACTCCCAGCCTCTGGAGAACGGTCGGGTCCTGTCTCAGGGCTCCACATTCACCTACCAGGACGTGTTGGACCTGCTGCTGGTGTACGCCCCTGATGCGGCCAGCGGGGGCAGTGATGAGCTATCCTTCTCCCTGACTGACGGCATCCACACCAGCACCGGACGGCTCACCTTCACCATAGACGTCAGGAAGAGTGAAGGACCAAGGATGACCGTGAATAGAGGCCTGCAGCTGGCTGCAGGTACGGGCTTGGAGAGAGGGTGTGTGTGTGTGTGTGTGTGTGTGTGTGTGTGCGTGCGTGCGTGTGTATGTGTGTGTGTGGACCCTGCATGACCTTAAACAGTTTCCGCAGGGAAGGACAGGGACAAACAAGGGGACGGGATCCGTGTAATTGTTTTAAGGGGACGGGATCCGTGTAATTGTTTTAAGGGGACGGGATCCGTGTAATTGTTTTAAGGGGACGGGATCCGTGTAATTGTTTTAAGGGGACGGGATCCGTGTAATTGTTTTAATGCGCCAGGACCCACATGTGCCCTTCTTCATGGTGAAGTCTAGCTGAGTACGAACACACCTGATTCAACTATGAAAGGGCTTGTTGATAACTTGTTGATTCAGGTATTCCAGTTCTGAGCTAGTGTCTAAATCAAATCAAATCAAATGTTATTGGTCACATACACATGTTTAGCAGATGTTATTGGTTACATACACATGGTTAGCAGATGTTATTGCGAGTGTAGCGAAATGCTTGAGCTTCTAGTTCCAACAGTGCAGCAATATCTAACAAGTAATATCTAACAGGTTCTACAACAAAAACCTAATCACACAAATCTAAGTAAAGGAATGGAATAAGAATATATAAATATATGGATGAGCAATGTCATTATCAGAGTGGCATAGTCTAAGATGCAATAGATAGTATAGAATACAGTATATACATATGAGATGGGTAATGCAGAATATATGTAAACATTATTAAAGTGGCATTATTAAAGTGACTAGTGTTCCATTTATTAAAGTGGCCAGTGATTTTCAAGTCTGTATGTAGGCAGCAGCCTCTAATGTGCTAGTGATGGCTGTTTAACAGTCTGATGGCCTTGAGATAGAAGCTGTTTTTCAGTCTCTCGGTCCCAGCTTTGATGCACCTGTACTGTCCTCGCCTTCTGGATGATAGCGGGGTGAACAGGCAGTGGCCCGGGTGGTAGTTGTCCTTGATTATCTTTTTGGCCTTCCTGTGACATCGGGTGCTGTAGGTGTCCTGGAGGGCAGGTAGTTTGCCCCCGGTGATGCGTTGTGCAGACCGCACAACCCTCTGGAGAGCCCTGCGGTTGTGGGCGGTGCAGTTGCCGTACCAGGCAGTGATACAGCCCGACAGGATGCTCTCAAAAAAGTTTGTGAGGGTTTTAGGTGACAGGCCAAATTTTTTCAGCCTCCTGAGGATGAAGAGACTTTTCTGCGCCTTCTTCACCACACTGTCTGTGTGGATGGACCATTTCAGTTTGTCAATGATGTGTACACCGAGGAACTTAAAATGTTCACCTTCTCCACTGCTGTCCCATCGATGTGGATAGGGGGGTGCTCCCTCTGCTGTTTCCTGAAGTCCACAATCATCTCCTTTGTTTTGTTGACGTTGAGTGAGAGGTTATTTTCCTGGCACCACACTCCCAGAGCCCTCACCTCCTCCCTGTAGGCTGTCTCGTCATTGTTGGTAATCAAGCCTACTACTGTTGTGTCGTCTGCAAACTTGATGATTGAGTTGGAGGCGTGCATGGCTACGCAGTCATGGGTGAACAGGGAGTACAGGAGTGGGCTGAGCACGCACCCTTGTGGGGCCCCAGTGTTGAGGATCAGCGAAGTGGAGATGTTGTTTCCTACCTTCACCACCTGGGGGGGCGGCCCGTCAGGAAGTCCAGGACCCAATTGCAAACTTGATGTAGAGTCTTGGGGAGACTGGCAGAACAGATAGGGAAGGGCTGATCTAGATCTAGTCTTATGCTGTTGTTCTTTGGTGTATCCTTACTGTTACTGTACCTATTCTCCCCCCAGGCTCAGCGGCTAAGATCACTGAGCAGAACCTGAAGGGATCAGATTCAGACTCAGATAGCCTGAAGCTGAGGTACATCCTGACCAAAGACCTTCCATTAGGAAGACTACAGCTTTCTAAAAGAGGAGGAGGACCAGGAACACGGTGTCTGTAAAGGGACCTGTCCAAGAGCTGAAAAATAGTGAGGAGGGAACAGAAAAAGAGAGGAATGAGAGAGAAGGGAAAGATACTTGGAAGAGCAGGGGGGGCCAGGGGAGAGAAGAAGTGGGTAAAGGAAAAAGGAAGTAGAAGAGAGAGGAGAGAGAAGAGGAGAGAGAGAGAGAGAAGAGAGAGACGAAGGAAGGAAGAGAGAGGAGGAGAGAGAGAGGAGAGAAGGGGGAGGAGAAGAAGAGAGAGAGAGAGCAGGAGGGACGAGATGAGAGAGAGAGAGAGGAGAGAGTAGACGAGAGAGACGGGAAGAGAGAGAGGAGAAGAGGGAGAGAGAGAGAGAGAAGAGAGAGAGAGAATGAGAGAGAAGAGAGGAGAGAGATATATCGCGCTAGAGAGATAAAGCATGCGAGATAGAGAGGTGCTATATCGTAAATAGTCTCATGGCTCGATCTCGATCTGATCTATAGGAGTCTCGATATGCTCTCGTCTATATGACTATATAGATTGAGATCTCTCAGCTCTGCTAGATATCGAGAATGATAGATTGATAATAGATATAATATATATCTTGACTCTGATCGTAGAGTCTCTCCTCTCTCTCTGTCTCTATCTTCTCTCTGTCCTCTCTCTCTCTCTCTCTCAACAGCATCTAATGTCGCACATAGTGCGGCTGTCTCGACTGTGACGAGAGCTTCTCTCTATCTTGCTCATCTCTCGCTCTATCGTCTCTTCTCTCTCTCTATATCTCTCTCTCACTCTCTATTCTCTTACTCGCTCTCTCTCTATCTTCTATCGCTACTATGTAGCAAGCTATCACAAACACCATCTGTTTTTACACATTTAAAATTCTTCCAGGAATAACATGGCCTGTGACTTTCTCATGAGATTGTATTCTCAGTTATTGAATGAATTATGATTAATTTACATTTTATTGAATTGACCATACCATGCGTGTGTGGTCTGCTGTTTTGCAGTGCTGTTCTGTCACGTGAGGAGTACAGTCATGCGAGAAGGGAGAGAAAGGAGGAGCATCTTCCATTCAGTTCACCTGGTGGATCCAGAGGGCAACAAACGATCGACCAGCTCCTTCTACACTCCGTGTCTTGTACTAGGCTAGGGTACAGCTCACCACACTCTACATCAGTGTTACAGTGCGTAGATACCAGTCCTTCTACCATAGGGTACTATGGGTAGCTACCCAGTCCTTCTACATCAGTTGTATAGGTCCGGTTCCTGTCCTTCTATATCAGTTGTACTAGGAAGGTTCCTGTCCTTCTACATCAGTGAATAGCGGTAGATACCAGTCCTTCTACATCAGTGTACTAGGTAGGTAACCATGGTACCTCTTACATCAGTGTACTAGGTAGGTACCAGTCCTTCTACCTCAGTGTACTAGGCTAGATACCAGTCATTCTACATCAGTGTACTAGGTAGATACCAGTCCTTCACATCCAGTGTAAGGTAGGTACCAGTCCTTCTACTCAGTGTACTAGGTATGATACAGCTTCTATATAAGTGTTACTAGGTAGATACCAGTCCACTCTACATCCCGTGTACTAGTAGGGTCCTGTCCTCTACTATCAGTGGACCTAGGTAGTCACACCAGTACTTCTACACAGTGTATCTAGGTAGGTACCGGCCTTCGTACTCGAGCCCGGTATAGGTGGTAGTAGGTACCAGTCCACTTCTAACTATCCGCAGTGTCTGTATCTAGTTAAGGTTCCTGTCACGCCTTCGTATATCAGATGTACTAGGAAGGTTCCGTCCCCTTCTACATTCAGTGTGGGAAAGGTATGATACCAGTACTTCTAAAATCAAGTGTACTAGGTAAGATTACAGCCTTCTTATCATCAGTTGTACTAGGTAGGTACCGTCCTTTCTACTATTCAGGTACTATGGTACAGATACCCGTCCTTCTAAATCAGGGTACTGGTAGATACCAGTCCCTCTAATCCGTGTTACTCCTTATTGGTCTGTTATAGGTGGGAAGCTGGGGAGAAAAAGGGAGGGAGGGGGAAAAAAGGAGGGGGGGAAGAAAAAAGGAAGAAGGGGGAAGAGAGGGAGGAGAAAGAAAGAAAGAAAGAAAGAGAGAGAAAAAAGGGAAAGAAGGAGCGGAGAGCAAAAACAACCCATGCCAAGGAGAGAAATGACACTGGACAAACACTCGCCAAAATAATGGCAGGATTAAGTGAGAACATTCATAACGGCGTGTCTGGATATTCTGGGTGCTGGATTGAGACTCAGTGAAAAAGAGACTTACTTTCCACGCGTGTCTGTACAGCTACCAGGGCACCAGGACCAGTGAGCAATGGACGACCTCGGTAGTGAACCGTCCGAAATTACCAGGCCGACTACACTGGGGGCATCGGAGCACGCCAGGCACCCCAGGTTACAACACAATCACACACAAAGGGGAGAAATGCACAAACAAACCAAACACAGAAAAAAGAAACACAATGCCAACACACCCCCAGACCCGTGGGGTCTGCACTGGAGCTTCGCAAACCAGCCACGTGGACCACCACGAGTCCAAAAGAAACACCACAAACACACTACAACACACACAGAACACCACAACACACACCACAGCACACAACCACGACCAACAACACACCATCACCAAACCTGCACACAAATAACTCTGGTTAATATACTGTTACTGCCTAACCATACCGAAGACATGACAACAAGCTTTATAAAGGCTAATCACTAACACACAACATGTACTGCATACTCCAAACAAGACAACACGCAAAGCAAAGAAACAACTACACATACACACACATACACCACAACCATACTACGCAGATCACACACCCTGCGTAAATCCAAGTGACCATAAATGAGTCTCGCTCTTCTAATGTTCTCTGAGTCTGAACCAGTCGGAGAGCACAGCGTCTCCACCACCACACCAGACTAATCGAGCCAGAAGAAAGAAAAAAATAAAAAAGCCCGACCACCTACCCACCACACAACACGAACCCACAAAAGCCTAAAAAAGCCTTCAACACCTCAACTACAACTAACACGAACCCCCAATAACACCCCGCACCCAATACCCGTGACTAAAACGTAGTCGAAACCCCCCCTCACACCTTCATACCAACACCTCCAAAACAACGAAAGCTACCCGCCATTGGACAAACACAGGGAAAAAACGCACCAAAACACCGAAATCCCAAACCCGTCTCTACACGAGCAAAGCACGCAACACCAAGAAAGCAACCCCAATAACAAAAGATAACGCACGATATAAAACAAAACACTCACTACCCCCACATACAAAGGCGCACCAACAACCAAACGCCGCACCCTACCTATGAGAAACCAGACACATATCGAGCGCAAAACCATCGCTCTCCCAAGAAAAAAGAAACCCAAAACCCTACCCGAAAAGGGTCGGACTCTACATAAATAAATTCGATCCCCCTCCGGCACCCCAACCTGATTTCGTGCAAGACCGGATGACACAAAAAGCAAACACGCAACCGAAACCCTTTGCAAAAAAAATCACTTAAATTGAACCGACCCTTACACCACCAACCCTTCAACGTCTCCCCCCCCACCATGAGACCTCCCCCTCCAAAAAAGACTGCTCACGAAAAACCAATGCCTGGACCTAACCAAGACCAGACCAAAGCCGCCACACACCCCACACCCGAAGCCCGACCGCCCACGACAAAGAAAGCGAAATTAGTTAAACAGCAACGGAGGGACTAATGCCCAAAAAAAAAAGTTAAGAAATCCTCGAACTGGCACAAAGAAAATAAACGAAAAACTCAGAAACGACACCTCTCCCCACCAATAACACGACCCGCTCAAACCGACAACTCCAACAAAATAAACCCTACGTCGAAAGGAAATTAGAGAAACTCTATACGTCCCAGAACCGAAATGCCACACGACCGACTACGAAGGCCTACCGCGATTGACAGAAGTAAAAAGAATAAACTACAAAGACTCACCCCAAGCCCCCATAATACGAAAAGCCCCCCGCCCTTATCCCGCGTCCCCACATCATGACAAACCTCCTATCTAATCTTCATCCTACCATTACGGTCGGCTCCTCTCGGCTTAAACACAGAGGCTCCCCGTGGGTAGCAACGCGCACGGCGGCACCTAATCCTCCACCATATTCCAGTCCGCAAACCCAAAGCTCCAACCACTAGCTCAGGACTGTAGGGAAAAGGAAAAAAAAAAAAAAAAAAGAACACGAAAAGAAACAAATAACAAGACAGGAACAAAAACACACAACAAACCTAACACAGCCAAAGACCAAAGGGACAAGGAAAAAAAAAAAGAGATCCAAAAACCATCAACTGAAAGACAAAAAAGAAAATAGAGACCAGGGAAAAAGGCGGCCAACAGCCAACACAAAAAAAGTAAAAAAACAAATGTTAAGACTCCAAAATGAATAACACAGAAGACAGCGTGTTCCTCAAACGTAAAGGAAAAACGAAGAAAAAAAAACAAAAAAAAAGGCAAAAGAAAGCGCCAGGACAAACAAGAAAGAATCGATAACATACCAGAAGAATACCAGGGGGAACCACAAAAAACAGGAAGAGGCCGATCGAAAAAAAGATCGAAAAAAAGAAAGAAGAAGCGCACCAAAGAACCACACACGACAAAAAGAATACAAGGGACTAGCCTATCTAGTTGTACTCAGCCCTCCCTACACGTTAACACACCACAACTTCGCAGACCTCAGTTAACACACACAAACTGAGACCCCCCCCAGACCCCCCAGAATAGAACGGTTTGAACACAACCACACTGACGGATGAAATAAAAAAAAAAACAACCGACAACAGAATAGTGAAAAATAACAATATACCACTAGCAGAGGACACCCCACAACCCCCCCCCCCCCCCCCCCAGACTAAGTTAAACACCCACACTGGAGACCCCCCCACACACCCCATCCAGGACTTAGTGTACACACCACACTAGAGACCCCCCACCCCCCCTCCAGAACTATCGATCCCTCTTTATAACAAAAAAAAAAAGGAGACAACAACAAAACACCCAGACCCACAAGAAAAGGACGAAGCAAAAAACCACAATAGACACCCCCCCCCCCAACCCAGACTAAGTTAACACACCCCCACCACCCCCACACCACCCACACGGAGACCAACCCCCCCCACCCCCCTCCCGCCCCTCAGATAGTTAACAAACCACACTTCTCGAGAGCCCCCCCCCCCCCCCTCCTCAGACCCCCCCTCCAGATAGTTAGAACACACACACTGAGGGACCCCCCCCACCCCTCGCGACCTACGTTAACACACCCACACTGAGACCCCCCCCCCCCCCTACCGAATATGTTAACACACCAATCACGGACCCCCCCCCCCCCATAATAACAGACACCACCCAGCACCCAGAACGTTAACAAACCACACGAGACCCCAGTCCAGATAGTTAACCAGCAACACTGAGACCCGCCCCCCCCCTCCCCCCCCCTCAGACTAGTGAACACACCACACTGAGATCACCCCCCCCCTCCAGACTGAGTTAACACACACACTGAGACCCCCCACCCCCCAGACGACGTTAACAACACCACACTGAGAACACCCCCCCCCCACCCCCCAGGGACTAGTTAAAACACACCACCACTGAGCACCCCCCCCACCCCCCCCCCAAAAAAATTACTCCAAACCAACAGCCCCGCCCCACTCACCCCCCCACCGCCTCCCAACCCCCCCCCCCCCCCCCCCCTCACCCCCCCATCCCCCGTCCCGCCCCCCAAAAGGGGGGACTATTGTTAAACACAACACACTAGACCCCAACCAGACCTAGTTAACACACCACACCTGAGACCCCCCCACCCCCCACCAGAGAGTTAACACACCACTGAGACCCCCCACCACCCCCCCCCCAAGTAACTGAGTGGAACAACACACACTGAGACCCCCCCCCCCACCAACACACCACACCCAAACCACCCACCACCCCCCACGGCCCTTTACCCCCCCCCCCCCCCCCCCCCCCCCCAGACTAGTTAACACACCACACTGAGACCCCCCCCCCCCATGTTTTCATTAAAAGACAACTAAATATAAATGTAAAAATGGACAATTTCAAAGCATGCTGAGTATTTTTCGAATGAGCTCCGCCCCTAATCAAGGTTTTGTCTAGAAAGGAGACAGCTTTTGTCAAAATTTATTTTTCGTAGCAGGTTTAGGAGAATATACGCAGAAGGTTAGCAGAATTAACGTAGGAGGTTAGGAGAATTAGGTTAAACTGTATCCCATCTAGACATGAGCCCGAAACAAGGGCATTAATAATACCCAGGATGCATTGTAGTTCATTTTGGTATGTTCATTTTCACATATACATTTACATTTTGGTAATTTAGCAGACACTCTTATCCAGAGTGACTTACAGTCAGTGCATTCAACTAAGGTAGATAAACAGCAACATATCACATTCATAGCAAGTAAAATGCTTCTATAACCGTTACTGAGAATGTTGTTGCTGTTTGGGCCGGCTAATTGCAAATGTATTTCTGTATTTTATAATACAAAATACATGTATTTTAATTTAATACATTTCAAAATACAAGTATTTTGTAGGTTATTTTGATACATTGATCTTTATGGTATTTTGTAATTGTATTTTGTAATTGTATTTTCTTATTGTATTTAGTAATTGTATTTAGTAATTGTATTTTGTAATTGTATTTAGTAATTATATTTAGTAATTGTATTTTGTAATTCTATTTTGTAATTTTTGCCCATCTCTGCATGGCACGATGGAGATGGCAGACAGCAAGATTCAGACAAACCCCAACTGTACCAAATCAAATACTAGGCTAGTAGCATTGGAAGATATTGCCTACACACTTTATTTCAGGGGTGATTACGTTTATAAATTGCCTGGCTGGGCTGTGGGACAGTGGACGTGCATTGATAAATCGAATGGAACTGTTAACAGGCGTTACCCGGGGATTGTGGTGAATAAGCATCCAGGATCCAAACAACCCGTTGAGGGCAGTGGGTTGTGGCAGTGGTGTAAAGTACTTAAGTAAAAATACTTTAAAGTACTACTTAAGTCGTTTTTTGGGGTATCTGTACTTTACTTTACTATTTATATTTTTGAAAACTTCTACTTTTACTTCACTACATTCCTAAAGAAAATAGTATACTTTTTACTCCATACATTTTTTGATGACACCCAAAAGTATCCGTTACATTTTGAATGCTTAGCAGGACAGGAAAATTGTCAATTTCACACACTTATCAAGAGAACATCCCTGGTCATCCCTACTGCCTCTAATCTGGCAGACTCACTAAACACAAAATGCTTCATTTGTAAATGATATCTGAGTGTTGGAGTGTGCCCCTGGCTATCCATAAATTTAAAAAAACAAGAACATTGTTCCATCTGGTTTACTTAATACAAGTAATTTTAAATTATTTATCCTTTTACTTTTGATACTTAAGTATATTTAAAACCAAATACTTTTAGACTTTTACTCAAGTAGTATTTTACTGGGTGACTTTCACTTTTACTTGAGTCATTTTCTATTAAGGTATCTTAACCTTTACTCAAGTATGACAACTGGGTACTTTTTCCACCACTGGGTTGTAGGGCAGATGTGACGCCAGCTAGCGAACAATGCTAACTACCACTAAAGAGATACAGTGTGCTAATTTAATGCTAATAGCGTTATATTCCAGGAACTGATTTATATTACATGATGTCTGTGCCACTAACAGTAAATACCATTTAGCATACGTTTTCATCCTAAGGGACTTGGCATATTGAGTGCAGTGAATACATAATTAGTGTGTGACCCAAGCAGGTCTTCGCTGGCATTGCTAGTGCCACACACTGACTTTCAAAGAACGTTTTTGAAAGCTAACACATCCATTAACATTAACTGTTAATGCTAATGAATGCTAACTTCCTTCCGGATACAGGAACACGCATCACGTCCTTCTCCCAGGCTGACCTGGCCTCCCGCAGTGTCCAGTACGTTCACACCAGCGAAGAAGAGAAGCACGCAGACGAGTTCTCCTTCATTGTGTCTGACGGGGCTAATGAGGTACACACACACACACACACACACACACACACACACACACACACACACACACACACACACACACTATCGATAATGTCCCTCTCTAATGCAGCCTAATGAGCAGCAGAAGTGCTTGAGCAAACGTGAAAAGATCGTCTGGCCTTCACGATTGGCTGACCGCTGTGCGTAAAAGGTCGTCGGGGCCGTGTCACGATTGGCTGAACGCTGTGCGTGTGGTGTTATGTGGAGCTGCTGGTCCATTCTGTTCAAGTTGGTTTTGTGTCATTAAACATTTGATCAGGATGTTTGCATGTAAAGTATCAGATCATCCCATCAGATCCCGCTGTTGTATTTTTATCACTACTGTACCCACCAGGATATGATTGCTCCTGTGGTGAGATTACGTTTTCTGTGTATGTTGTGATGTTGTGATGGGTGGCCCTGAGGTTGTACATATCATTCTCTATTTTAAAACACTGTACAGTAGGTTACTGTAAAACAAGGATACAATGTTCTGCATGGCCTAAGAACAACTTCATTGAAAAGTGTTGCACACAATGATCAAATCAAATGTTATTTGTCACCTGCTTCGTAGACACAAGGTAGAGAGGTAGAGAGAGAGGGAGGGAGAGAGAGAGAGAGAGAGAGAGAGAGAGAGAGAGAGAGAGAGAGAGAGAGAGAGAGAAGTCATGCAGAAGAACAGCTCCTGACTTGTTATAACTTTTTGGTTGTTAAGAGCGAGATTGACACGACTAAATTAGCAAAAAATGTATAGGTAATCTAATTGTACAACTGAAGATCAAAACAGGAGGAAAAGATTGACAGAGAGTGAGTAAAAAGACCAATCTTCATCGTGGTAGCTAGCCAAATTAAAATCTGTCAGCTAGCTCACCGTCCAGCTCTAACCGTTTACTGGTGGTAACCATAGCAACATGGCCACTGAGGCAGCGCTAGCATCGATAGTAACGGCAGAGACTGAGAGACTTTCTCCGTTGTTTTTTGAATACCCAGCAGAAATAAAATCAGAGAAGGGAAGAATCAACTTTAAACACCGAATTCTGAGGGAAAACCCAGAAACTTTGTTTGCTGACTGCTCACAAAACGGGACTGTTACAAACCTGCTATTTTACACAGACCACACTACTGCCTGGCATACAGCTGTAACTAGCCATTTCAGCTACACCACGAAGAAAGGCATCTGCAAGGGAAGACAAATCCACATTTTTGAGGACAGCGATAAGGACCAGGAAAACAGGTTTCTGACGGTAAACATGTATCAGAACGGTACTATCATGGTCCAGGGCAGTGAGGCTGCACTCAGCTCTGTTGTGCAGGACTTCCCCACCCTAATGAAGATAGCAGAAAGTAAAAAAGACAAGGACAGCACCCTGACCTCTCCCCTCACCTCAGGCACCCCAACAGCAGGACTATCCTCCCCCCTGCCTGCCTACAACCACCAGAGCCAAGACCACACTACCATCAGCCTGTTGAGAGACAGGCTGGCTCTGTTAGAGGTATGGGTTACTGAGCTGAAGGAGCAGCCCCCCAGCTACACCACCCCCAGCCCAGACACAGAGCTTCTACAGGACCAGATCAACCAGTGCAGGACCCAGCTGAAGAACTCTGTCCAGGAGCTGAGAGAGAGCCTTACCACAGCGCTTGAGGAGGTAAAGGCCACCATGAGGAGAGAGCTAGTGCAGGTAAAGGAGGAGATGGCAAAGGAGTTGTCTGTCATCAAGAGGGTGCTACAGCAGAGAGAACAGACTGTAGAGACTCCCAGAGAGAAGCTGCAGCCCCTCACCACCCCTAACAACCCCACTGACCCACCTTTACCCACAATCCCCCCCCCATACCGACAACACTTTACCCACACCCCCAGTCAACAAAGAGGCCCACATTGAGACAACTACTACAGAGAGAAGCTCTCTGGCCCCCCCTGACACACCCCCACACACCCCTCCATGTACACAGGCCCTGTCTACTCCAGCCCCAGACCGAAAACGCACCAATCTGGTAAAACCCACTGAGGTGGCCATCCTCATTGACTCAAATGGGAAATTCATTCAAGAAGATAAACTCTTCCCCCAACACAAGGTGCGCAAAATATGGTGCCCAAAAACACAAGATGCACTCCACATCCTGTCCCAGCCTGACTTTGGCACACCAGGCCACATTATTATTCACACCGGCACCAACAACCTGCGAGAGGAGCAGGAGAGAGTAGGCAGCCTGGTCAACAGAGTAGCAGAGAGGGCCTCTGAGTGGTTCCCCAACTCCCACATCACCATCTCCACTCTGCTGCCCCGCAAAGACTTTCATCCCCGTACCATCCAGAAAGCCAACGCTGACATCACCAGAGGGTGTGGCCTACTCCCGAACATACACATTGCTCACCACCCAACAATCACCCCAGAGCATCTACACGACCACTCCCACCTGAGGAAGCAGACAGTAGGGATGTTTGCCAAGTCCCTAAAGGACGTAGCACTTGGTAGACAAACACCCCATGCTGTACTGGACAGAGGAGCACCCAGAGACCCCTACCAGACCACTGCACCACCAAGGAGCCCCAGGCCCCTTCAACGCCACACCAGACCCAGTGCACCCCACAGGCCCCACCCACCCCCAGAGCATCACCACTTCCATCGGCTTAGCCAGACCAGACCGGGCCCAGCCTATTATCCCGCACCAGACCACCACCCCTACCAGACCAGAGAGGAAGTCCCACAGCCCAGACCTGGCCCCCCTCCACCTCACAGGGCCCAACAGCAGGACCAGCGCAGCTACGCGGAGGTCGTCAGAGGACAGGAGAACCCTGTAGGATTAAGTGAGATTAAACAGCTCCTCCAATACATCTGCACTAAACTGCACTAAACACACACGGACGCATACACACACACACACACACACACACACCTATTGTACTAGAATTTACTTGTTCAATGAATAGGAATATTTAACAGAATAACAGAATAAATGTTAGCTGATATCCTGTTTATCTCGCTCTTAACAACTTATTAGTTAATCGTTACTGTGTTTCTGACTGCTACTCCTTCTTTTTGCAACATGAAATCACTATCAGTTAGCATGTGGAACATTCAGGGTCTAAACTCATCAACCTTTGGTCTGAAGAGTTTAGCACTGGAGTTCAACAAAAATCTGAAAGATGTTGACGTCATCATTCTGCAGGAGACATGGTGTAAGGCTGACGTTGTCACTCACTGTCCCACAGGCTACAGAGAGATCATTGTGCCATCACAGAAACACAGCTCTGTCAATAGAGGCAGAGACTCTGGAGGATTGATCATTTGGTACAAATCCGAACTACAAAATCTAATTGATCCCCTCAAAATTGGCAAATACCACATTTGGTTAAAACTAAAAAAAGAACTTGTACTGACAGGAAAAGATGTGTTCCTTTGCGCAATATATATCCCCCCCTCAGAATCCCCATATTACTCAGAGGAGATCTTCCCCACCCTCGAGGAAGAGACGTGCCATTTCCAGGCCCAGGGAAATGTGCTCATCTGTGGGGACACAAATGCGCGCACAGGAACACTACCTGATCTAACGAGCACACGAGGGGACAGCTTTATTACAGACCATACTGTTTCTAACTATCTTAATCTCCCCCATAGAAACAACAGTGACAGCACCGTCAACAAAAACGGAAGGGATCTTTTGCAGCTCTGTAGAAGCCTGGGTCTGTACTTTGTCAATGGTAGGTTACGGGGGGACTCTTTGGGGAGATTCACCTACTGCTCACCTCTTGGCCACAGTACAGTAGACTATATGATCACAGACATGGACCCTTTCTCTCTCAGCTCATTCACTGTCAAGCCACTAACACCTCTGTCTGATCACAGCCAAATTACGTTGTTCCTCAAAAGAACAGACCTGGAAACAACCACACATTCACAACCCAGTAAGCTGTACAACATCAGAAATTCATACAGATGGGCCCAAAACAGCACAGAAGAATACCAGAAAGCAACCTGGAACCAAAATATCCAAACACTCTTAGATAACTTTCTGGATACCACATTCACTCACAGTAAAGAAGGCATCAATCTAGCAGTACGAAACATCAACTATATATTCAGGCAAACGGCAAAAGAAGCACAATTGAAATTGATAAAAAACAAAACTAAAAAAATCACAGATGACAACTGGTTTGATGCAGATTGTAAAATTATAAGGAAAAAACTTAGAACACTATCCAACCAAAAGCACAGAGACTCAAATAATGGTGAATTACGCCTTCATTACTGTGAGACTTTAAAACTCTATAAACGTACACTCAGAACCAAAAAAGCACAGTACAACAGCAAGCAGCTGACACTAATTGAGGAGTCCATAAACACAAACAACTTTTGGCAAAATTGGAAAAAACTAAAAAAATCTAAACAAGAGGAATTAGCAATACAAAATGGTGACATATGGACAACCCATTTCAAAACACTCTACAACACCGTTCAAATTGACACAAACGCAGAACAACGCCAAATCCATGAGAAGTTGAATGGATTAGAAAAAGCTATAAAGGACAATCAAAACCCATTGGACTCCCCAATTACTGACCAGGAGCTCTATAAGAAACTTCAGGCTCTCAAATTTAAAAAAGCCTGCGGACCTGATGGCATCCTAAATGAAATGCTCAAACTCATTAGTGCAAAATTTCAATTGGCTATATTAAAATTGTTTAATTTGATCCTGAGTGTAGGTTATTTCCCTGACATCTGGAATCAAGGACTCATAACCCCAATCTTTAAGAATGGAGACAAATTTGACCCTAACAATTACAGAGGCATTTGTGTGAACAGTAACCTGGGGAAGGTTTTCTGTAGTATCATCAATGTAAGACTTCTAAACTTCCTTAATAAGCACAATGTCTTGAGTAAAAGCCAAATTGGATTTATACCAAAACATCGCACAACTGATCATATTTACACCTTACACACCCTGATAGATAAACATGTCCACCAAAATAATACCAAAATATACACTTGCTTTATCGACTTCCAAAAAGCATTTGATTCTATTTGGCATACAGGACTGTTCTACAAAGTTATTGAAAGTGGTGTAGGGGGTAAAACATATGACATAATTAAATCAATGTATACTGGCAATACGTGCAGCATTAAAATTGGTAAGAAAAGGACAGAATTCTTTAACCAGGGGCGGGGCCTTCGTCAGGGTTGCAATCTGAGCCCTGCACTCTTCAATATTTACATTAACGAATTGGCCACTATTCTAGAAAAATCCTCAGCCCCTGGTGTTAGTCTCCACAATTCAGAAGTTAAATGCCTACTCTTCGCAGATGACCTATGCCTGCTGTCACCCACAGCACCTGGCCTACAGCAGAGCCTGGACCTGCTAGAGCAGTACTGCCAGACCTGGGCCCTGGCAGTAAACCCCAAAAAGACTAAAATAATGATTTTCCAGAGAAGATCCAGATCTCAGGGAATTAGACCAAAGTTCTCAATTGGTACAAAATATATAGAGTACTGTACACACTACAATTACTTAGGTTTAAAAATAAGCTCAACTGGACACCTTAATGAGGCAGTGAATGAACTGAGAGAGAAAGCACGCAGGGCATTCTACGCCATTAAAAAGCAAATTCAAATTGAAATACCTATTAAAATTTGGCTAAAACTAATTGAATATGTCATTGAACCAATTGCACTTTATGGCAGCGAGGTGTGGGGTCCACTTGCAAAACAAGATTTCATCAAATGGGACAAACACCCCATTGAAACCCTACATGCAGAGTTCTGTAAGATTCTCCTACGTGTCCAGAGGAAAACTACAAACAATGCATGCAGGGCAGAATTAGGCCAATATCCACTAATAATAAAAACTCAAAAAAGAGCAATTAAGTTTTGGAAACATCTAAAATACAGTGACCCCCTCTCATATCATTACCAAGCCCTGCAATGCCAAGAGCTGAGCAAAGAAAAGAGTCCCCTCATCCAGCTGGTCCTGGGGCTGAGTTCACAAACCTGTTCTACTAACACACTGAAGCCTCAGGACCAGAACATCCAATCAATCAGAATAAACCAAATTACAACACAGTCAAAACAAAACTACATTGCTTATTGGGAAACACAAGCACAAACACAAAGCAAAATGCAGTGCTATCTGGCCCTAAATCGACAGTACACTATGGCTAAATATTTGACCATGGTTACTGATCAAAACCTTAGAAAAACCTTGACAAAGTACAGGCTCAGTGAGCACAGCCTTGCCATTGAGAAGGGTAGACACAGGAAAACCTGGCTCCCTGTAGAGGAAAGGCTGTGCAACCACTGCACAACAGCAGAACCTGAGACGGAGCTGCATTTCCTGACAAAATGTCAAAAATATAAAACAATTAGAGAGTGTCATTTCCCCAAATTTGAAATCCTTATTCAAGGTTTTAAAGACCTCTCTGATGAGGATAGGCTACCCATCCTGTTGGGGGAGGACGCAGAGAGCTGTGGGTTGGCAGCGCACTACATTGCTGCCTGCCATAAGTTGAGGGACAGTGTCTGACAGACCAATAAACCTGCACATGTCCTCAACTGTATGATTATTGTTATTGTTGAATGTATGGTTATATTGACCGTTGGTTATTGTTGTTACTGTTGTCCCGTTGACAATTTTTGATTCTCATTTTTATTTATTTTTTATATTGTAAATATCCAAAGTAAGCTTTGGCAATATGTACATTGTTACGTCATGCCAATAAAGCGAATTGAATTGAATTGAATTGAATTGAGAGAGAGAGAGAGAGAGAGAGAGAGAGAGAGAGAGAGAGAGAGAGAGAGAGAGAGAGAGAGAGAGAGAGAGAGAGAAGGAATAAATCACAGTGAATAACGAACAAAACTAATGAGTAAAAATAACATGGATATATATACAGGGAGTACAGTACCGAGTCGATGTGCAGGGGTACCAGGTAATTGATGTAGATATGTACATATACTGTAGGTAGGGGTAAAGTGACTAGGCAACAGGATAGAAAATAGACAGTAGCAGCAGTGTATGTGGTGAGTGTGAAAGTGTGTGTGTGTGAGTGTGTGGTGTCAGTTGTGGTGTGTGTGTGTGTGTGTGTGTGTGTGTGTGTGTGTGTGTGTGTGGTGTGTGTGTGTGTGTGTGTTGTGGTGTCAGTAGTGTGTGTGTGTGTGTGTGTGTGTGTGTGTGTGTGTGTTGTGGTGTCAATAGTGTGTGTGTGTGTGTGTGTGTGTGTGTGTGTGTGTGGTGTGTGTGTGTGTGTGTGTGTGGTGTGTGTTGTGGTGTCAGTAGTGTGTGTGTGTGTGTGTGTGTGTGTGTGTGTGTGTGTGTTGTGGTGTCAGTGTAAGTACTGTATGTGTGAGTGTGTGGGTAGAGTCCAGTGTGTGGTAGAGTCCAGTGTGTGTGTGCCTAGAGTCAGTGCAAGATAGTTAGTTAAAAACAGGGTCAATGCAGGTAGTCTGGGTAGCCATTTGATTAGCTATTTATCAGTCTTGTTTAGCAGTCTTATGGCTTGGGGTGGAAGCTGTTCAGGGTCCTGTTGGTACCAGACATGGTGCGCTGGTACCGCTTGCCGTGCGGTCGCAGAGAGAACACTCTATGGCTTAGGTGGCTGGAGTCTTGTTTTTAAAATGTGGGCACCGCCTGGTATAGAGGTCCTGGACGGCAGGAAGCTTGGACCCAGTGATGTACTGGGCCGTCCACACTACCCTCTTTAACGCCTTGCTAATGATAATTATTACCTACCAGCAACTACCTGTATTAATCTTTTTGACAGTGTTCCCTCTGGATGTTCCTCAGATAACAGTGTTCCCTCTGTATGTTCCTCAGATAACAGTGTTCCCTCTGTATGTTCCTCAGATAACAGTGTTCCCTCTGTATGTTCCTCAGATAACAGTGTTCCCTCTGGATGTTCCTCAGATAACAGTGTTCCCTCTGGATGTTCCTCAGATAACAGTGTTATGTATGGTGTCTTTAGGTTGATAACAGTGTTATGTATGGTGTCTTTAGGTTGATAACAGTGTTATGTATGGTGTCTTTAGGTTGATAACAGTGTTATGTATGGTGTCTTTAGGTTGCCCAGACGTTCTACATCACCATACGGCCGGTGGATGACTCCCTCCCCCTGCTGGTGGTTCCTGGTATGAGGGTTCAGGAGGGGGTCAGGAAGACCATCACTGAGTTTGAACTGAAGGCCACCGACGCTGACACAGAGGTAGGCTGGCAGACTGTCCAGCCACTACACACACCTCACTACTCATAGTCACAGACAGAGAGGTAGTCTGGCAGACTGTCCAGCCACTACACACACCTCACTACTCATAGTCACAGACAGAGAGGTAGTCTGGCTGGTCAGTACTATTAGCCAGAGGTAGGCTGGCTGTCTGTTCCCTACATACCTGTAATGTTTTAATCACTACACACACCTTCAGTGTTTTCATTATAACCAGAGGAGCAATAAACTAAGAGTGAAATGAACAGTTGCTTTGACTGAATGCCATTGTGTATAGAGCTAAATAGTAGCAGAAAGTACTAGAAGCTATTTGAGCTTTACTTGGGGTGCTATATGGACCAGATGAAGAAAAATAAACTAATTTCAAGCTCCTTGATTATGCTAAGTCAAGGCAACTTCCAGTTTAGAAATTCAAATCAGCATGCCAGACTGTTCCTAGGGCTGCGTTGCCAGACTGTTCCTAGGGCTGCGTTGCCAGACTGTTCCTAGGGCTGCGTTGCCAGACTGTTCCTAGGGATGCGTTGCCAGACTGTTCCTAGGGCTGCGTTGCCAGGCTGTTCCTAGGGCTGCGTTGCCAGACTGTTCCTAGGGCTGCGTTGCCAGACTGTTCCTAGGGCTGCGTTGCCAGACTGTTCCTAGGGCTGCGTTGCCAGAATGTTCCTAGGGCTGCGTTACCAGACTGTTCCTAGGGCTGCGTTGCCAGACTGTTCCTAGGGCTGCGTTGCCAGACTGTTCCTAGGGCTGCGTTGCCAGACTGTTCCTAGGGCTGCGTTGCCAGACTGTTCCTAGGGCTGCGTTGCCAGACTGTTCTGAGGGCTGCGTTGCCAGACTGTTCCTAGGGCTGCGTTGCCAGACTGTTCCTAGGGCTGCGTTGCCAGACTGTTCCTAGGGCTGCGTTGCCAGACTGTTCCTAGGGCTGCGTTGCCAGACTGTTCTGAGGGCTGCGTTGCCAGACTGTTCCTAGGGCTGCGTTGCCAGACTGTTCCTAGGGCTGCGTTGCCAGACTGTTCCTAGGGCTGCGTTGCCAGACTGTTCCTAGGGCTGCGTTGCCAGACAGTTCCTAGGGCTGCGTTGCCAGACTGTTCCTAGGGCTGCGTTGCCAGACTGTTCCTAGGGCTGCGTTGCCAGACTGTTCCGAGGGCTGCGTTGCCAGACTGTTCCTAGGGCTGCGTTGCCAGACTGTTCCTAGGGCTGCGTTGCCAGACTGTTCCTAGGGCTGCGTTGCCAGACTGTTCCTAGGGCTGCGTTGCCAGACTGTTCTGAGGGCTGCGTTGCCAGACTGTTCCTAGGGCTGCGTTGCCAGACTGTTCCTAGGGCTGCGTTGCCAGACTGTTCCTAGGGCTGCGTTGCCAGACTGTTCCTAGGGCTGCGTTGCCAGACAGTTCCTAGGGCTGCGTTGCCAGACTGTTCCTAGGGCTGCGTTGCCAGACTGTTCCTAGGGCTGCGTTGCCAGACTGTTCCTAGGGCTGCGTTGCCAGACTGTTCCTAGGGCTGCGTTGCCAGACTGTTCTTAGGGCTGCGTTGCCAGACTGTTCCTAGGGCTGCGTTGCCAGACTGTTTCTTAGGGCTGCGTTGCCAGACTGTTCCTAGGGCTGCGTTGCCAGACTGTTCTTAGGGCTGCGTTGCCAGACTGTTCCTAGGGCTGCGTTGCCAGACTGTTCTTAGGGCTTGCGTTGCCAGACTGTTCCTAGGGCTGGCGTTGCCAGACTGTTCCTAGGGCTGCGTTGCCAGACTGTTCCTAGGGGCCTGCGTTGCCAGACTGTTCCTAGGGCTGCGTTGCCAGACTGTTCTGAGGGCTGCGTTGCCAGACTGTTCTGAGGGCTGCATTGCCAGACTGTTCCTAGGGCTGCGTTGCCAGACTGTTCTGAGGGCTGCGTTGCCAGACTGTTCTGAGGGCTGCATTGCCAGACTGTTCCTAGGGCTGCGTTGCCAGACTGTTCCTGAGGGCTGCGTTGCCAGACTGTTCTGAGGGCTGCGTTGCCAGACTGTTCCTAGGGCTGCGTTGCCAGACTGTTCCTAGGGCTGCGTTGCCAGACTGTTCCTGAGGGCTGCGTTGCCAGAACTGTTCCTAGGGCTGCGTTGCCAGACTGTTCCTAGGGCTGCGTTGCCAGACTGTTTCCTAGGGCTGCGTTGCCAGACTGTTCCTAGGGCTGCGTTGCCAGACTGTTTCCTAGGGCTGCGTTGCCAGACTGTTCCTAGGGCTGCGTTGCCAGACTGTTCCTAGGGCTGCGTTGCCAGACTGTTCCTAGGGCTGCGTTGCCAGACTGTTCCTAGGGCTGCGTTGCCAGACTGTTCCTAGGGCTGCGTTGCCAGACTGTTCCTAGGGCTGCGTTGCCAGACTGTTCCTAGGGCTGCGTTGCCAGACTGTTCCTAGGGCTGCGTTGCCAGACTGTTCCTAGGGCTGCGTTGCCAGACTGTTCCTAGGGCTGCGTTGCCAGACTGTTCTGAGGGCTGCGTTGCCAGACTGTTCCTAGGGCTGCGTTGCCAGACTGTTCCTAGGGCTGCGTTGCCAGACTGTTCCTAGGGCTGCGTTGCCAGACTGTTCCTAGGGCTGCGTTGCCAGACTGTTCCTAGGGCTGCGTTGCCAGTTACTTTCAGATGTTCTAGGCTCTGCGTTCTGGCGTTGCCAGACTGTTCTAGGGCGCGTTGCCAGACTGTTCTAGGCTGCGTTGCCAACTGTTCCTAGGGCTGCGTTGCCAGACTGTTCCTAGGGCTGCGTTGCCAGACTGTTCTGAGGGCTGCGTTGCCAGACTGTTCTGAGGGCTGCGTTGCCAGACTGTTCCTAGGGCTGCGTTGCCAGACTGTTCCTAGGGCTGCGTTGCCAGACTGTTCCTAGGGCTGCGTTGCCAGACTGTTCTGAGGGCTGCGTTGCCAGACTGTTCTGAGGGCTGCATTGCCAGACTGTTCCTAGGGCTGCGTTGCCAGACTGTTCTGAGGGCTGCGTTGCCAGACTGTTCTGAGGTGCATTGAGACTGTTCTAGGCTTTGCCAGACTGTTCTGAGGCTGCGTTGCCAGACGTTCTGAGGGCTGCATTGCCAGACTGTTCCTAGGCTGCGTTGCCAGACTGTTCCTAGGGCTGCGTTGCCAGACTGTTCTGAGGGCTGCGTTGCCAGACTGTTCCTAGGGCTGCGTTGCCAGACTGTTCCTAGGGCTGCGGTTGCCAGACTGTTCCTAGGGCTGCGTTGCCAGACTGTTCCTAGGGCTGCGTTGCCAGACTGTTCCTAGGGCTGCGTTGCCAGACTGTTCCTAGGGCTGCGTTGCCAGACTGTTCCTAGGGCTGCGTTGCCAGACTGTTCCTAGGGCTGCGTTGCCAGACAGTTCCTAGGGCTGCGTTGCCAGACTGTTCCTAGGGCTGCGTTGCCAGACTGTTCCTAGGGCTGCGTTGCCAGACTGTTCCTAGGGCTGCGTTGCCAGACTGTTCCTAGGGCTGCGTTGCCAGACAGTTCCTAGGGCTGCGTTGCCAGACTGTTCCTAGGGCTGCGTTGCCAGACTGTTTCGGCTGCGTTGCCAGACTGTTCTGAGGGCTGCGTTGCCAGACTGTTCCTTGGGCTGCGTTGCCAGACTGTTCCTAGGGCTGCGTTGCCAGACTGTTCCTAGGGCTGCGTTGCCAGACAGTTCCTAGGGCTGCGTTGCCAGACTGTTCCTAGGGCTGCGTTGCCAGACTGTTCCTAGGGCTGCGTTGCCAGACTGTTCCTAGGGCTGCGTTGCCAGACTGTTCCTAGGGCTGCGTTGCCAGACTGTTCCTAGGGCTGCGTTGCCAGACTGTTCCTAGGGCTGCATTGCCAGACTGTTCCTAGGGCTGCATTGCCAGACTGTTCCTAGGGCTGCGTTGCCAGACTGTTCTTAGGGCTGCGTTGCCAGACTGTTCCGAGGGCTGCGTTGCCAGACTGTTCTGAGGGCTGCGTTGCCAGACTGTTCTGAGGGCTGCGTTGCCAGACTGTTCCTAGGGCTGCGTTGCCAGACTGTTCCTAGGGCTGCGTTGCCAGACTGTTCTGAGGGCTGCATTGTCGTAGTCTTGTCGCCCTCAGTAAAGTAGCCATGATTAAACTCTTAATGGACAATATCTATCACTAAACTGTTCCATTCTGACACAAATGCCTAAACATAACATAAATAAATGGAAACAATGACTTCTCTCTTTTCCCTCCCTCCCTCCCTCCCTCCCTCCCTCCCTCCCTCCCTCCCTCAGGAGGAGTCCATCACCTTCACCATAGTCCAGACTCCCCGCCACGGCACCATTGAGCGGACCAACAACGGACAGCACTACCGTCAGACCAATAGCTTCACTATGGATGACATCTACCAGAACAGAATCAGCTACAACCACGATGGCTCCAACTCACTGAAGGACAGATTCACCTTCACTGTAGCTGACGGGACCAACGTCTTCTTTATGGTGGAGGAGGCGGGCAAAGAGGTGAGGAGAGGAGGGTGTGTCTCTCTCTCTCTGTCTCTCTCTCTGTCTCGGTCTGTCTCTCTCTCTCTGTCTGTATCTCTCTCTCTCTGTCTCTCTCTCGGTCTGTCTCTCTCTGTCTCTCTCTCTCGGTCTGTCTCTCTCTCTCTGTCTGTATCTCTCTCTCTCTGTCTGTCTCTGTCTCTCTCTGTCTGTATCTCTCTCTCTCTCAGTTTCTCTCTCTGTCTGTCTGTCTCTCGCTCTTTCATAACTCCCTCTTCCTGCCTCTGTCATTGTGTAGGTGTTGACGGCTGCACCACAGAAGTTTAAAATAGACATTCAGCCAGTGGATGATGGAACACCTCGTATCGTCACAAACCTGGGTCTGCAGTGGCTGGAGTACATGGACAACAAGGTAAACACCATACTATATCATACCATACAATACCACACAATATAATACCACACATTTACATTTTAGTCATTTAGCAGACGCTCTTATCCAGAGCGACTTACAGTTAGTGAGTGCATACATTATTTTTTTATTTTTCATACTGGGAATCGAACCCACAACCCTGGCGTTGCAAACGCCATGCTCTACCAACTGAGCTACATCCCTGCCGGCCATTCCCTCCCCTACCCTGGACGACGCCGGGCCAACTGTGCGCCGCCCCATGGGTCTCCCGGTCACGGCCGGCTACGACAGAGCCTGGATTCGAACCAGGATCTCTAGTGGCACAGCTATCACTGCATCGCAGTGCCTTAGACCACTGCGCCACTCGGGAGTACACCATACCATATCATACCACATCATATAATACCACACCACACCACACCATACCATATAATACCACACCACACCATACCATATAATACCACACCACACCATACCATATCAACCACACCACACCATAACCAGATAATACCACATCATATAATACCACACCACACCACACCATACCATATAATACCACACCACACCATACCATATAATACCACACCACACCACACCATACCATATCATACCACATCATATAATACCACACCACACAACACCATACCATATAGACACACCATACCATACCATTAAGACCAACACAATACCATACAGATAATAACCACACCACACCACACCATATAATACCACACCACACCACACCATACCATATAATAGACCACACCACACCATACCATACCATATAGACCACACCTACCAAACCCCATATAATACCACACCACGACCACACCATATAATACCACACCACACCACCATACCAATATAAAGACAAACACCACACCACCACCCACACCATATAATACCACACCATACCACACCATATAATACCACACCACACCACACCATATAATACCACACCACACCACACCATATAATACCACACCACACCACACCATATAATACCACACCACACCACACCATACCATATAATACCACACCATACCACACCATGTAATACCACACCACACCATACCATACCACACCATATAATACCACACCACACCATATCATACTACTACCATACTAGTGCACTACTTTTGACCAGGCCCATGCTAGTCACCTGCTACTAGGTTTCACTATTTTCTGTCATTGTGGGTATGCACTTGTTTACAATAACAACATACAGTGTAAATATAGGAAATATTTTATTTTACATAATGAAGGACAATTTGATTGTTAGGTAATTAAATATTTTGGGAAAATGCTGTGTGCAACTATAATGAATATACTGTGACTTTGTGCGCTAGCCTCTTTTTGACAGTCTTTTGCCATCAGTAGTAGTGACCCATCACACAGCAGGCCTATCTGCATTCCGTTTGTGTTACGCTACCTCCCCCTACTGGTCTTTGATGGAGTAACATATGGAATTTAATTAAACCCCGTCTCTCACGTTGATTTCCAGAGCACTATACTATGTATGTGGTTTGAGGAGTTAGCGAGTTAACTTTGGTCTACTCTGAGTTCAACTCGGGATAACCACGAAAGTGGCTCACCTTTTAGCCAGGTACATTTATATGGCAACGAATCCTTCAGAACTAACCTGCTCCGGGGCATCCTGAATGAAGTGTCTGGGCCGCAAGTTGAAGACACTAACAACATATTTGATTAATCAAATCAAATGTATTTGTGTGTTAAAAATATTAAAGTTAAAATACTAATTACATTACACATTTAGTAATGACATAATGCATTTCAAACTTCACGCACAGTAAAATGTTTGTATGACTTAAAAATATATATTTTATCGATAGAAGTGGGGAAAAAGGTGCTCGTGCTTTGATAAGCACACCAAAGATGGCATTAATGATAAGCAATAAAATAAAGACTGCACTTCTAAAAGCCTATTTCACACCATATCCTGCTGAATGTGCAAGATAACTGTTCTTTCATTTTGATCTCGACATAAATGAAAACGCGGCACTGATTCGCGCATGGATGAATGTTTCAGCATTGTAGCAATGAAAGACTTCGGCGTTCGACCAGCCACGTGCCCAATCACAAGCCTGCTAGGCTGCTGGAGTTAGCAGCAGGCAGATGAGCAATATCCACCATCGGAGTATGGATGAAGCCTGAGCTGGAATGTGAAGCCAGCTGCACTGCAGCTGGCTAACTGCAGCCGGCTAGCTTTAGAAAACCTTAAGTAGATCGTAGCATACGCCTCTGGACAATAAACTTGATTGATTGATTGATTAATGTATTGCCTGACTGACTGACTGACTGACTGACTGGTTGCTTGCTTGTTTGTTTCATTGACTGACTAACTGACTGACTGACTGTCTGACTGATTGCTTTTTATTTCTAGACTATAACTGATTGATTGATTGATTGACTGACTGACTGAGTTGTATTACTAGACTATAACTGATTGATTGATGGATCGAGTGATTGATTGACTGACTGAATTATTGATTGATTGACGTTGCAGGCCACCAACCTGATCAGTAAGAAGGAGCTGTTGACCATGGACCCGGACACAGACGATGGTCAGCTGGTCTATGAAGTCACAGCAGAGCCTAAACACGGCTTCCTGGAGAGCAAACTAAAGCCAGGTGCTCCTATCACCTCCTTCACACAAGGTATGGTGTGTGTGTGTATGTGTGTGTGTGTGTGTGTGTGTGTGTGTGTGTGCACAGGGCAGTGCACAGCACTTTCACTGGGTAGGAGCTCAAACTGGAACCCCTTCCCCCCATCACTTTAAAAAAACACAATTCTAATAATTAAGATCCCTAAATTCATAATATACCAAATGCGTCTGTGGCAACACATAATTTTATTTTCAGCGTAGGCCTATTTATTTTCTCCAACACCAACGCTCACTCATCACAAATCATAACAACCTAGTTACAGTGCCTCCTAATGACATGATTGACATGGTGAAAGGAGGGTGGGCTATCAGGTGATTATTGACGTTGATGATTGATGTAAATCTGCTAGTTAGCTAGTTATCTACTGATTGTGATTAATCTTTCATGCTCTTAAATAATAACTTAAGATAATATTCATAATTTTCTAACTCAAGATATATGGCTGGCTGGCTAGTGGCTTGTGTGGATATTTTAGTATATGACGGTTAGTTAGAGTTTAGACTACCTGTGTTGCTGCTGCCGACTGAGGAAGTTGGGTCTGAGCGAGGGTCGTTGAAGCAGCCGCTCCTCTCTGTGTTTCTGCCTCTCTCTGCTGCCAGACCGAATGTTGACGATGAGGTAAATCAAGTGATATGTTAATCACGCGTTATGCTGCTGTGGCAATACTGTTAATATTTCAACTAGGTAGCTAGCTACCGTAAAACCTCAATTAAACGCGAAGTCTCAAATAGCGGCCTGTCCCTTTTAATAGCCGGGCAATGACATTTCAGGAAAATATAACGCCTGTTTCAAATAAATGGCTGTTTCAAATAAATGCCGGGTCTAAATGAATTGTTTACGAGGTTAACATGAAATACCATGTGTTGTTTACGAGGTTTAATGTTTGATTTCACATTAAATAATTCAGTAATGACTCAGAAAAATTATTGCAATCATCCGTTTTTATCGCCAGTAAGAAACTGCTAGCCTTTGGCTGCTAACAGCTGAAAACTGCTAGCTGAGAACTGCTAGCTAACTGGCAAGCACAAAAACAGTCAACAGCTTCGGGAGTACAGAACCCTAGAAATCAGACAGTCGCCCTCTAGTGGCAAAAGTAAGAACTGACGAAAATGCACAGTCGAAAAGGAAAATAATTATTCTGTCAAGGAAAAGTTTTTTTTTTTTTTTAAATAGACACATTATAACACATTATAACACAGTGCAGAAAATTAAGAAATGTAGTAAAATGCTGGAAGTGAATGCTGAAATTAAACAATTAACTATGCATGGGAGGCTGGGAGCCATTTATGTGTTGTTGTAGGTTGTATTTCTTACCTGTTAGCTAGTGATAGGTAGTAGTCTCGGAAACCCCAGACCTTGAGCAACAGCACTAGGTTTGGGGAGGATGTCAGATTCTCTTGGACATTTCGGGAAGAAAAACAATTCTGGGGAGGGTCCTCTTCAGACAGGAAACTCCCCCAACAAATCACGAGTTTCGGTAGTAGGACCAAGCCTGAAAAATCAAACTCTTTCCATAGGACATCTCAGAACGTCTCGATTCGAAACCAAAGTTTGCAGGCAAAACCTGCAGGGGTTTAGTAATAGATGATGCAAACTAGCAAAATGCACTCATTAAAAATAACCTTTGCATTTTCCATCTCGCTAGCTAGCTAGCTACTACTTTGTGTCTGGCAGGGATGTTTACGCTAGGGCAACAAGTGGAAAAGGCGATAATGTCACCGGATACGGCAGTGACGGGACTTCCCTGTTCCAATTCCTCTCTGTCCCAACTGGACGTGTATGCTGGAACATTGGTACATTGTGGGAGGCAACCCATCTGTCTAGATAGTAGTGATAGTGATGCTAGGCCTATTTGAAACATCCCCATTTCCTGGCAATGTTTACCTGCCAGATTCAGAAGTTTGAAAACCCCATTCGATTTTTTTGAGGGTTGAAAACCTCATAACATTTTTGCCCAAAGTTTAGAAGAAAAATAAATTAAACTGAACATAATTTATGTTTTTTTTATTTTATTTTGTTTTGTTTTGGTGTCGAAGATAATAGTTTCAGTATAGTTGTAGTTTTTCAAACGTGCTTCTTAATTTTTTTTCTTCAGTTTACTAAATTGTTTTTACATGATTTGATGATTTCACATAATTATTGACCACAACCACTCAACTACTGACCACAACCACACAACTACTGACCACAACCACACAACTACTGACCAAAACCTGTTTTAGTTTCAGTTTTAGTTTACTATAATAACCTTTGACCATCACCTAAAAGGGCACTTGGTGAGTGGGAGGACAAAAGGGCATGTACTGGGCACAGGTTGACTCCTCCTACCTGTACACGTGCCCTGGTGTACTCACCAGAGTGACCAAACAAAACATTCAATCTGATCATTTTCTTCTTCTTCAGTGATTTCTGCAAACAATTATTTTCTATGACGGACGTCTTACAGTTTGTCCCTTTAACGCAAGTAATGTTGTTCTAACGTCGTCCTAACATTGTGTTAACTTCGTCCCCTGCCCTCCAGCCGACATTAACCTGGGCTTGATCCGCTACGTGCTCCACGAGGAGAGCGTGACAGAGACCATGGACAACTTCAAGTTCCTGGTGAAGGACAGCAAGCCCAACGTTGTCTCTGATAACCTCTTCCATATCCAGTGGTCGCTCATCAGCTTCCAACACAGGAGGTGAGAGAGACATATTTGCTGTCGCAAGTATGGCCCAGAGATTTTTCCTTGACCATGTGACTGGAATGGGGAGAAACTTCAGGCTCTTCCTGAACTAATTCAAAACGATCGTGAAAAACATGTGTATGTTTAAGACTTCCATCTTCATGGGTTGGGCTGCTTCAGGATCTGGCCGCAGTTTTACGCAATTCCCTCCTCTCATTGGCCACAAAGTCCATTTCAGCTATTGTACTGTAATTGTATCTCTCAAAGCTATATGTCTATGTGACTGAGGCCATCTCTGTTCCCCTCCCATACAGCTACAACGTGAGTGAGAAGGCTGGCACGGTGTCGGTCACAGTGAAGAGGACGGGCAACCTGAACCAGTATGCCATCGTGCTGTGTCGTACTGAGCAGGGCACTGCCACCTCTACCTCCAGCGTGGGCTCTCGTCCCGGGCAGCAGGACTATGTGGAGTACGCTGGACAGGTACGGGCAACACTACACTGGCATCGCCACCTTGGCATTGCCAATTAAAGGTACCGGGCATTATTATACAGAGGATACTAACTTGAGATAAGGTTAATCGAGTCTCATTGGTAAATCAAAGCACTTTTTTCCCTACACAGATTTGTTTTTTTCTTTCCTTTTCTCTTCAGCTTAGATATGCAGATTTGTGATACAATATAAAAGCACAACAGGATAAATGAGACATTTCATGTACATTGTGTGTAGACGAAAAGGCCACACAATGTGAAACCTCTCTACTCTCTCTCTCCTCCCCCCAGGTCCAGTTTGACGAGCGGGAGGACACCAAGGTGTGTACCATAGTGATCCAGGATGACAAGGTGTTTGAGGGCGTGGAGAGTTTCCAGGTGGAGCTGAGCATGCCCGTCTACGCCCTCCTGGGTCAGGTGACCCGCGCCAGCGTCAACATCAACGACACCGAGGACGAACCCACGCTGCAGTTTGACAAGAAGACCTACCATATCAACGAGAGTACCGGCTTCATACACGTCCCCATAGAGAGGAAAGGTATTAACCCTAAACCTAACAAACTAGTATGTACATAACCTTACCCCTACCATGTCAACCAGTACCGTCTTCATACAGGATCCAATAGAAAGGAAAGGCAAGGAGGATACTAACCCTAAACCTATATGGAAGGTCCAAAAATGCTATCTGGACATGAACCCCTGAAGGTCCAATAATCATATCTAGGAGGACCAAAAAGTCCAAGAATGTTATCTGGGACCCCAAGGTTCAAGGATTCTAGGATCCTATCTGGGGGGATCTTGAGCACCCCACCACAATATCTGAAATTCAATTAAAAAATACTTGTATAATAAACAATGGCCAATTTTCAATTGAGGAAGTGATTGAATTGAACATTTGATTGACCTCATTGACCCTGTTCAGGAGGGCAACCCTAATCCATTCTTCTCCTCCCTCTCCCCCTCTTCCTTCCCTCCTCTCTTCCTCCTCCCCTCTCCTGCCTCCCTTCACCCCCACCTCTCCATGTTCTCTCCCTTCCTTCACCCCCACCTCTCCATGTTCTCTCCCTCCCTTCACCCCCACCTCTCCATGTTCTCTCCCTCCCTTCACCCCCACCTCTCCATGTTCTCTCCCTCCCTTCACCCCCACCTCTCCATGTTCTCTCCCTCCCTTCACCCCCACCTCTCCATGTTCTCTCCCTCCCTTCACCCCCACCTCTCCATGTTCTCTCCCTCCCTTCACCCCCACCTCTCCATGTTCTCTCCCTCCCTTCACCCCCACCTCTCCATGTTCTCTCCCTTTACCCCCACCTCTCCATGTTCTCTCCCTTTGCCCCCACCTCTCCATGTTCTCTCCCTCCCTTCACCCCCACCTATCCATGTTCTCTCCCTCCCTTCACCCCCACCTCTCCATGTTTTCTCCCTTCCTTCACCCCCACCTCTCCATGTTCTCTCCCTCCAGGTGACACCAGCAGTACGGTCTCAGCTCTCTGTTACACGGTCTCTAAGTCAGCTAAGGGTAGCAGTCTACACGCCCTGGAGTCTGGTTCTGACTATAAGAGTCGAGGTATGACTGGTGACAGCAGGGTCATCTTCGGCCCCGGCGTCTCCATGTCCACCTGCGACGTCCAGCTCATCGATGACAGCGAATACGAACTCTCCGAGGAGTTTGAGCTCCGACTATCGGACGCCTCGGATAACGCCCGCATGGGTGATGTTAAAGTGGCGAAGGTGGTCATTGACGGGCCAAATGATGCTTCAACGGTATCCCTGGGCAACGCTACGTTTACGTTCAGTGAGGACGCCGGTGAGAGATTATATAGGCTCACAACAAGTTATAAAGACGTATAAGCAGTTATTAAGCAGTATACCTGCAGGAAAGTGTTACTGAGATAGTTATATCTCTAGTGACTTTACAATCTACAACCTCAGATTTTGGGTTATGCTAGAGCAGGGATGGGAACTCCAGTCCTCGGGGGCTGGAGTGATGTCACACGTTTTCCCCATCCCCTAGCAAACACAGCTGATTAAACTAAGCTGATGATCATGATTAGTTGATTATTAGAGTCAGGTGTGTTAGCTGGGACTGGGGCAAAAGTGTGACACCAATCAGGCCTCCGAGGACTGGAGTTGCCCATCCCTGTGCTAGAGTAAAACAGTTTTATTAAGCTCATAAGGTATTTCTAAGTTCTATTCTTCAAGAATCAATAGATATACTGTATATCAATGCTTGAATTAACCATTGGAGAGCAGGAAGTATATCTAACCTCTGACCTCTAACCTTAAACCCCCTAACATCTGACCCTTGACCTCCAGGCACCATAGAGATTCTGGTGTTGCGGCAGGGGAGTGACCTGTCGTCGGTGACCTCTGTGTGGTGTGCCACACGCCCCTCTGACCCTCCCTCAGCCACCCCCGGGGTCGACTACATCCCCTCCTCCAAGAAGGTGGAGTTCAAAGCTGGCAAGACTATGGAGGTAAAGAAGAGAGGCATCTTTTTTTATTTACCTTTCTTTTAACGGGGAGTCCCATTGAGACCAAGGTCTCTTTATCAAGGAGTCCCATTGAGACCAAGGTCTCTTTATCAAGGAGTCCCATGGAGACCAAGGTCTCTTTAACAGGGAGTCCCATTGAGACCAAGGTCTCTTTTAACAAGGAGTCCCATGGAGACCACGATCTCTTTATCAAGGAGTCCCATGGAGACCACGATCTCTTTATCAAGGAGTCCCATGGAGACCAAGGTCTCTTTATCAAGGAGTCCCATGGAGACCAAGGTCTCTTTATCAAGGAGTCCCATGGAGACCACGATCTCTTTATCAAGGAGTCCCATGGAGACCAAGGTCACTTTATCAAGGAGTCCCATGGAGACCAAGGTCTCTTTATCAAGGAGTCCCATGGAGACCAAGGTCTCTTTATCAAGGAGTCCCATGGAGACCACGATCTCTTTATCAAGGAGTCCCATGGAGACCAAGGTCTCTTTATCAAGGAGTCCCATGGAGACCAAGGTCTCTTTATCAAGGAGTCCCATGGAGACCAAGGTCTCTTTATCAAGGAGTCCCATGGAGACCAAGGTCTCTTTATCAAGGAGTCCCATGGAGACCACGATCTCTTTATCAAGGAGTCCCATGGAGACCACGATCTCTTTATCAAGGAGTCCCATGGAGACCAAGGTCTCTTTATCAAGGAGTCCCATGGAGACCAAGGTCTCTTTATCAAGGAGTCCCATGGAGACCAAGGTCTCTTTATCAAGGAGTCCCATGGAGACCACGATCTCTTTATCAAGGAGTCCCATGGAGACCAAGGTCTCTTTATCAAGGAGTCCCATGGAGACCAAGGTCTCTTTATCAAGGAGTCCCATGGAGACCACGATCTCTTTATCAAGGAGTCCCATGGAGACCAAGGTCTCTTTATCAAGGAGTCCCATGGAGACCAAGGTCTCTTTATCAAGGAGTCCCATGGAGACCAAGGTCTCTTTATCAAGGAGTCCCATGGAGACCAAGGTCTCTTTATCAAGGAGTCCCATGGAGACCACGGTCTCTTTATCAAGGAGTCCCATGGAGACCAAGGTCTCTTTATCAAGGAGTCCCATGGAGACCAAGGTCTCTTTATCAAGGAGTCCCATGGAGACCAAGGTCTCTTTATCAAGGAGTCCCATGGAGACCAAGGTCTCTTTATCAAGGAGTCCCATGGAGACCAAGGTCTCTTTATCAAGGAGTCCCATGGAGACCAAGGTCTCTTTATCAAGGAGTCCCATGGACCAAGGTCCTCTTTATCAAGGAGTCCCATGAGACCAAGGCCTCTTTATCAAGGAGTCCCATGGAGACCAAGGTCTCTTTTAACAAGGAGTCCCATGGAGACCAAGGTCTCTTTATCAAGGAGTCCCATGGAGACCAAGGTCTCTTTATCAAGGAGTCCCATGGAGACCAAGGTCTCTTTAACGGGGAGTCCCATGGAGACCAAGGTCTCTTTATCAAGGAGTCCCATGGAGACCACGGTCTCTTTATCAAGGAGTCCCATGGAGACCAAGTTCTCTTTATCAAGGAGTCCCATGGAGACCAAGGTCTCTTTATCAAGGAGTCCCATGGAGACCAAGGTCTCTTTATCAAGGAGTCCCATGGAGACCAAGGTCTCTTTATCAAGGAGTCCCATGGAGACCAAGGTCTCTTTATCAAGGAGTCCCATGGAGACCAAGGTCTCTTTATCAAGGAGTCCCATGGAGACCAAGGTCTCTTTATCAAGGAGTCCCATGGAGACCAAGGTCTCTTTATCAAGGAGTCCCATTGAGACCACGGTCTCTTTATCAAGGAGTCCCATGGAGACCAAGGTCTCTTTATCAAGGAGTCCCATGGAGACCAAGGTCTCTTTATCAGGGAGTCCCATGGAGACCAAGGTCTCTTTAACAGGGAGTCCCATGGAGACCAAGGTCTCTTTATCAAGGAGTCCCATGGAGACCAAGGTCTCTTTATCAAGGAGTCCCATGGAGACCAAGGTCTCTTTATCAAGGAGTCCCATTGAGACCACGATCTCTTTATCAAGGAGTCCCATGGAGACCAAGGTCTCTTTATCAAGGAGTCCCATGGAGACCAAGGTCTCTTTATCAAGGAGTCCCATGGAGACCAAGGTCTCTTTATCATGGAGTCCCATGGAGACCAAGGTCTCTTTATCAAGGAGTCCCATGGAGACCAAGGTCTCTTTATCAGGGAGTCCCATGGAGACCACGGTCTCTTTAACAGGGAGTCCCATGGAGACCAAGGTCTCTTTATCAAGGAGTCCCATGGAGACCAAGGTCTCTTTAACAGGGAGTCCCATGGAGACCAAGGTCTCTTTATCAAGGAGTCCCATGGAGACCACGATCTCTTTATCAAGGAGTCCCATGGAGACCAAGGTCTCTTTATCAAGGAGTCCCATGGAGACCAAGGTCTCTTTATCAAGGAGTCCCATTGAGACCAAGGCCTCTTTATCAAGGAGTCCCATGGAGACCAAGGTCTCTTTTAACAAGGAGTCCCATGGAGACCAAGGTCTCTTTATCAAGGAGTCCCATGGAGACCAAGGTCTCTTTATCAAGGAGTCCCATGGAGACCAAGGTCTCTTTAACGGGGAGTCCCATGGAGACCAAGGTCTCTTTATCAAGGAGTCCCATGGAGACCACGGTCTCTTTATCAAGGAGTCCCATGGAGACCAAGTTCTCTTTATCAAGGAGTCCCATGGAGACCAAGGTCTCTTTATCAAGGAGTCCCATGGAGACCAAGGTCTCTTTATCAAGGAGTCCCATGGAGACCAAGGTCTCTTTATCAAGGAGTCCCATGGAGACCAAGGTCTCTTTATCAAGGAGTCCCATGGAGACCAAGGTCTCTTTATCAAGGAGTCCCATGGAGACCAAGGTCTCTTTATCAAGGAGTCCCATGGAGACCAAGGTCTCTTTATCAAGGAGTCCCATTGAGACCACGGTCTCTTTATCAAGGAGTCCCATGGAGACCAAGGTCTCTTTATCAAGGAGTCCCATGGAGACCAAGGTCTCTTTATCAGGGAGTCCCATGGAGACCAAGGTCTCTTTAACAGGGAGTCCCATGGAGACCAAGGTCTCTTTATCAAGGAGTCCCATGGAGACCAAGGTCTCTTTATCAAGGAGTCCCATGGAGACCAAGGTCTCTTTATCAAGGAGTCCCATTGAGACCACGATCTCTTTATCAAGGAGTCCCATGGAGACCAAGGTCTCTTAATCAAGGAGTCCCATGGAGACCAAGGTCTCTTTATCAAGGAGTCCCATGGAGACCAAGGTCTCTTTATCATGGAGTCCCATGGAGACCAAGGTCTCTTTATCAAGGAGTCCCATGGAGACCAAGGTCTCTTTATCAGGGAGTCCCATGGAGACCACGGTCTCTTTAACAAGGAGTCCCATGGAGACCAAGGTCTCTTTATCAAGGAGTCCCATGGAGACCAAGGTCTCTTTAACAGGGAGTCCCATGGAGACCAAGGTCTCTTTATCAAGGAGTCCCATGGAGACCACGATCTCTTTATCAAGGAGTCCCATGGAGACCAAGGTCTCTTTATCAAGGAGTCCCATGGAGACCAAGGTCTCTTTATCAAGGAGTCCCATTGAGACCAAGGCCTCTTTATCAAGGAGTCCCATGGAGACCAAG